TGCCTGCTTTTGTCTCGCCCAGCTCCATGTCGCAATCCACGAGCTCCCGCTGCACCTCCAAAACAATGCTTTCATCATCCGACATCAGGTCTAGTACAATGCCCTCCGCCGAATCGTGGGAGCCGCTGAATTGCGTATTGGAGGACCCCTTTCCGAGCATCGGCGCCCACCACTCGTCGAGAAGCTGTTGCTCACGGCGCAGTGCCTCGCCCTCACGCTCTGGATCGATATTGTCCCAATGGGTCGTGACAAACTTGACTTTCCTAAGCGCTTCGTCGCCGCACAACAGCTGAAACATCTCGAGAAATTGACGAGACGAGTGCTTCATGCGATTGTCATGGATGGAATGCATGTAAATAATACCCCTCAACGGAACTCGGAGGGCATATTGCGTTACCAGGTACTCTGTTATTTCTGCAAGAATTTGGGTATTGGAACGTCGGGTGTCGTCAAAACCAGGAGTGTCAACGACGGTGACTGAACGGGTCTGTTCTTCATTCAAGAATATTTGTATGGCTTGCGGTGGCGCCTGGGCTTTCCACTCGTGCGGTTAGTTTTCGATGACTGAAAGGCATTCAGGGTTGTGAGTGAATAGCTTACTTGATTCCAGCGTATGCCCTACTGTGACCGACTCAGGTTTGAGCGCGTTGACAAAGGTACTCTTTCCGGCACCGGTAACTCCCATCACCAAGATCATACCTCCCGACTCCGGCGATGTGTCCATTCGGTCAAGTGACTAGATGCTTTTGCGATGGGAATAGTCAACAAGTTCGAAAAGTCAAGACTCAGTATGTCTGGTCCTGCTGTGTGATTTTTCGGGGATCGTTAATGGGTCTATAGGAGACAGTTGCCTTTGGTTCAACTTGGGTCTGTTCAAGTAGTGTCATTGGGCCGCTACATAGGTAGGTTGGACTCAGGTTGAGTCAGGTGATGCCGGATCGCATCAGCCGCATAACGAGGTTGGCGACCTCTCAGAATCAGAGCTCAAGTATGGACACTGTTCCAGGCATCACCATCTGCAAGCCTTTCTGATACGGTTGCCTCGTTCAACTGCAAAGTTAGTATCTTCAACCTAGAACAGGATGCCATTGGCGACTTTGTTGTTCCAGGTTGCCTTGTTACCTTGATACATCGACGTTGGGCTCCTTCGCTACACATGCTTGGGCTGTGCATGCACGTCGCCACCAAATAGTCGATCGGGATTGGTAGCCTTGCGCCATATACCACTCAACATAGCCCACCCCCGCACCGGAATATGCGACAACTAGTGAGAAGATGGGGTCGAGCTAAGAGCGGACATGGGCATCAGGTTGAAATAAAGGAGGAAGGAAGGAAGAGGCCGAGCGAACGAAAGTTTTGTACCGTTATCGAACATCGACACATCCGACGGTAGAGGTACTGCTAACGACGACTGTTCCACCCACCATGGAAACCAAGACAGCCAAGGTGAAGCTATCGATGGAAGGCTTGAACAGACCTCTTGGTGCTCCTCCCGTGCCTTCTGTTGTATCAAACCCATCTGACCCTGAAGACCTTTGGCAATTTCCTGACGGGACGCAGTCTTCGAATTCACCACAAGTCCAGCCTTCGAACTCACCCCAATCTGCGGATTCCTTACCATCTGTAGATCCAGCACAAGGTCCTCTTGAATCTCCAGATTTAGCATTGCCTTCCGACCACCCCTGCGCAGACTCACCACCTTCGGCAGATTCATCACAGCTGCCAGGGACATCTCAGAAACAGGATGTGACTTCGCCCCTGCCTCTGCGGCGGAAACCGTGGCGAAAAGCACCCGCAAAAGACAATAAGGAGAGATATATTGCAATAGGAATTGACTTTGGGACAACGTAAATGACCCCAACACAAGACTTCCATTACTCCTACACGTTCCCTAGTCAGCTAACTAGATGGTCAGTTACTCTGGCGTCTCCTGGGCGTGTTCCTTCGATCCGGAGAACATCCAACAAGTCAAAGGGTGGCCATCCGCAAATATGAGGTTACAGGACGAGGTACAGATACCGACGCAAATCAACCTCAAAGCAAATACGTGGGGTTACCTGGTTTCCAAACAAAGCAATCCAATTCGCTGGTTCAAGCTACTGCTGCTTGATGAGCAAGATGTCAAACAAGATGTCCGAAAATCTTCTTATCTTACAGAAGCACGAAATACGTTGCGGTCGCATCCCCGATATTCAGGCGACGGCATTATTGATCTTGTTGCTCAATTTCTGAAGGAGCTGTGGGACCATTCTCTCCAGGACATCGGAAAGCGAGTCGATGTCGACAAGTTACCACTCAGGGTAGCTGTCACGGTTCCGGCGATATGGCCCAGCTATGCCCGTGCTAGACTGAAGGAGGCGGCAAGGAGAGCAGGCATTGAGCGACCTAGACTCATGGGCAAGACCAAGCTTACCCTAGTTGAAGAGCCTGAGGCAGCAGCTCTCTGCACCCTCCACGAACGGCGAGAATACCCCGAGATTGAAGTTGGCGAGACCTTCATCGTTTGTGATTGCGGGGGCGGAACAGTGGTAGGTCAATGATCGAGTCATGATTTTCCTCATAGACTAACGTGACCCCAGGACATTATCAGCTACAGGGTTAAATCTACTGATCCTTTCCAAATCGAGGAAGCGGTCAGAGGAGATGGTAAGAGCTCGCGCTTTCTCACTTTGACTGTTTACTTACACCTCACCTGATAGGCAAGCTTTGCGGCGCATTTCTTGCCGATAGTGCCTTTGAGAGGTGGATAAAGGCCAAATCTGGTCTCAAGTTTGATAATGTCGATGAAGAGGAGTTTCGCGCCTTTCTCCAGGATGAATGGGAATATACAATGAAGCGCGCCTTTAGCGGTAAAGAGAACCAAAGTTCCTTTGCCATCAGACCTCCTTCGAAGGCCATGAAAAAGCTGAAGCTAAAGACCAAGGGGGGTACCTTTCCAATATCCAAGTTGGTGTATTCCTTGAACTTTGCCAAGCAAAGATGTCTGTTGACACCCGCAACAGAGATACCCTCAAAGAAATATACTCCAAACCATGGAACGGCACAAGAGAACTCATCTCTGGGCAAGAGAAACGCATTGTGGAAGCTTACGGTAAACCACCCAAAGTACGCACTTCCTCTACACCGAGTTGGCCTAGTCCATCATTGACTCGATAACTCACCTGTTGATAGAAAATCCTACTTGTGGGCGGGCTCGGTGCTTCCCCATATCTCTACTGGCAACTTCACGCGCAGTTTCATGGAAATGTGCTGCAGCCATCACAAGCGTACGTTTCCTTCCCCAGGCAAAACATGTCAATACCCATCTCTAGTCAAACGAATTAACATGGTTACTATTCAGATGGTCGGCCGTTGCTAAAGGCGCTGTAATCGCTGTGCTTGAAAGCACAGACGATGTCATCGCATCTATGCCCGTTGTTGTTTCGAGAGTAGCCCGGTTTAGCTATGGTGTTCAGTTCGGGTATTCACCTAACAGCTTGGCAAGTTTTGGCCAGGTGCCAGGCGATCGTGGAAAGGATGAATACTACTTTGATCCTGACGGTACAGAGCTGGTCCGCAGGATGACGTGGTACCTCAAAAAGGTTCGTCTACCAAGCCCTGTCTTGAACACATGCTTCATCAAAAATGTATAATATCTAACTACTGCGCTCCAGGACGAGACGCTTGATAACAGGGATCCAGTAACACACACATTCTCGCGGTGGGTTCGACTCCATGAGTTGTCGGACATCAAGATCACGATTTTCACGAGTCATGAAAACCCGCCACCTTTTCGAAGAAATAACTCGGTCAAATTGATGTGTGAAATCGGCATTATTGCCCTTGTTCCTTGGGAAACCTTGGAGCGGTGCACCAGTCCTTCTGGCGAGGAGTATCGAAATTTGCATGGCGTCCTGACAATGAGGTTCGAGGGCGAGCCCAAGTGGTCCTTACAAATTGGGCAAAGCAAGGTGGAACGAGATGTCAAGGTGCGGTATGAAGGGGTCTAACGTTAACTGGATGTTCTTGTGGATTATGGTGATAAGTAGAAACATGCCTAGGTATATATACTGAAGCTGTTTCATTTATCTCGGTTTGTTTTCCGGGAAATGCTCTTCTTAAGGACAGGAAAGGTGGTGGGAAATTTTGAAATGCAATAAACCGGTATAATAGCATGAAATTGAGGTTTGCTTCTGGGCAGGCCCCTAGCACATCGGGTTCACTCGATGAAAACGCACAAGATGGGAAGCCAATAGGCTTACACACGCAGTAGGTTCCCATGCTAATAGTTACCCAGGCGTATTGTACGGTTCGTTATTGCTGAAATGGCTTTGCCTGATAGTCTTGCTCTTGGATAACATTTGTCGCAGATCTCCAAGGCAGTGTCCAAAGCAAAGATATACTTTCTGAGTACAACTATCTTCACATCATTTTGGTTCGATTTTGACCAGAGCAATATCCTCATCATGGAGTAAGGAGCTTGAAGGTAATGATGGAAAGCAAAGGTAAAGATATATATTGTCTTGTTGGAACTGAAGGCACAGAAGGGGTGTAGTGTACCTAGCTACTTGTAAATCATCAAAGCAATTCCTAGCAATTCAGGTCATTGTGTAAAAGGGTAATCGTGTAGTTGGAAATGAACCGTACGCAATCAAATCAAAGAAGCCCACTTGTCACACTTGTATGGCTGAGATCACATGAGAGACAACACAGGTAGGGAGGGGAACAACACAAGGCTTGTGGTACAACGCACGATATGAAGCATTCCATTGGATGCCTTTCATTAGTTGCCTGCACCTGTACGCTTCGCCTATCAGGATACGGTGGCCGCTCGGTAGTGATTTTCACTTCCAATTAACAGTGCCTAACCTTCAGGCGAACGAAACCTACACCTACCTACAACCTTCGGATCGATCCCAAATTTTTACCCATCAACTCATTGATCGCAATCAAATTCTACCGTCATACGAGAGGTGATCCAAATCAACCAAAGGAAACGATTTGGTCTTTGTGTGTCCGCCATGGAGTACTACCCTCAAGGCACCACCGTCTCAGAATGGCCCCTCATTGAAGAAGACGAGGACAAAGGCGGTTTTTTTGTTGTCCAACCTCAACATGACCCACATAGCCCCCATTTGGCGTCCAGCCCAGTTTCCTACCAGCCGCTTTCATACTTCGATAGCAGTGGTCAGCAAAATGTCTTCACCGGCTACCATCAACACGAAACTCCCTCTAGCACTATCCTCAGCGGAGTGGATGCAAACCATCCGGCCGCTTTCGCTATCCCTACAACCCAAAAAACCACCAGAAAACATTCAGACCGCTCGGGCAAAGCCTCAAGTTTTCCGGAGCATAAAGGGACTACTCAGGTCTCTTCCAGCGGCTCTCATCCCAGGAGCCCTTCGAATTATCCCTACAATGAGACGACCGTTGCATCTGTCGGTGAAGGAAGGTCAACGGGAGCTTTGATCTCTTTTTTCCAAGACATATTCTCGCCACAACCGTCAAGGCAGCGACAGCATCAAGTTGAATCCACGTCTGCTGGAAGCTCTACCAAAAACGAGGCTCGACATCGCGAATCTTCTTCCGGAGAAAAGACCCATAGATCTATGGGCTCTACGCGTCGACCAGACAAGAAAAGACATAGCCGTAGCACCAAATCGCCTGAAAGGTCCACGGAAAAGGCGCCTGACACCAAAAAGCTCCAATCGAATTCATTCGAACCATCCCTGGGAAAGAAAGATGCGAAGGAACTACAGCAACCAACGCCAGCGGCACAGCCAGAACGATTCAACAATCTGGGTAGTTCTTTTGCGCATACTGAAGAAGGCCAAAGGTCTTCCGTTTTCATTGATGACAGGGCGATAGTCCAAGAACCAGAAGGTTATTATCGACCCAAAACCCGGGATAAAGGGCAGAAGGACCAACAACAGCTCGATCCATATCAGTCGGTGCGTACGAGTCGTGAGAGGGAAGACATCACTACGAAATACTATAGGCAAAAGCAAAAGACCGCCGAGTTGGAACAAGAAGTTGCCAATTTGGAGGATGAGAATGACACTCTTCGAGATCTCTTGAGCAAAGAGGCTGCATCAAAAAATCTGATGAGTGGCACAGGGACAGGTAAATGTCACTTGCAAGACAGCGACATCTATCAGCAATGGAGACAGTTGGCCTGGTGGATTAGACAATGTGTTCATGTTGCGAACAACGCCAGCAAGCAAAACTATACAGAGGGAACAACAGATCGCAGCCGCCAGGTCGACGATCACAAGGAGAAGTCGTCGCCGAAAAAGCGTTCATCTCGTTCAAAATCGAAATCACGAAGAGAGACGGCCGAAAAGGAAAGCCATAGCGGAAATATGGAGGCTTTGATAGCGATCACTCCATACTACGATGCGTTTCTTGACACTGACAAGCAACGGATAGTGTTGGCGGAGGCCGCAATTTGGAAGACACTGCTGGAAAAGGGTATCTTTACCACACGTTCCACTATCAGTCGCATGGAATGGGCCGGGAGATATGCGCACAGCGTACGCCCAATGCGTAAGTCTTTCACCACTATGTCCCATGTGTGGAGGCGAACAGATTGAAATTGGAGGCTCAGTGCTAGCAAGCTAATCATGTAAGTGCGTGACAGTGGCCGATTGCTTCGAACGTTGCCGCACATCCAGGGAATTCCACAGCTGGCGGTGTCACACTGCAACGTTCCTCGCATCGCTAACCTCGGCGGATGATCTGCTCGTCCAAGTCAATCCGGTAGTTGAGATTCTGAAAAGCAAATTCAAGCTTCTCTTTGATATTGAAAGCGCCGTCGTAAATCACGATCTCAAGAACATAGTACTCAACGCCTTGAAACTCGACAAGCAACTCTGCCAGCAACAGGCACTCTGGTACTGTGATGACCCATCGGAGGACGCTTGGGCCAGTCCAACTCAGTGTGAGAGTGGCGATGAACTTTCATCAGCTGCCTTGAAGTTGAGAAGCAGAGAAGTGTGGTTCGAAGACAGGCTCATGGTGGTGACTGGCGCAAAGAAGAAGAAACTCGGGAAGAGCGCAACAGTGACTCTAATCATATGCCCAGCACTGATCAAAGCGGGTAATTCGTATGGAGAGGACTACGACGTGCGGCAAGTCCAAGCCAAGTGCGAGGTCGTTATATCGAGGAACGCTCCAAAGCTGGCCACATCCGCACCAAGGTCAAAACCAACGTCGCCGTCATCCTCGAAAGTGACACTCTCGCCGTCAGCAGCGCCCACATCAGAAACCCAGTCGAGGTCAAAATCATGGCCAGTAAGGGATAATGGATATAACCATGAGCAAAATGCTAGCACTCGCGTTGAATTCGACATGAGCGGTAACAGCAGCGAGGGCTCAGACGACCGGGAATGACAGGTTAAAGCAGCAAACTTGTCGGAAATCCCCAACGAATTGGTGGATTCGTAAGGCGAAATGTGGAAAAGCGTATTGAGATTACCTGTGTGAAAATATGTTTCTGTCTCATTTGAAAGCTGTTTTCCTATTTGGAGATTGTCAAGGCTTGACATCTTTTGTACGGCTGGTCCCTGCGGTGGCTTAGGAGATGGTGTACCTGGCTGGTTTGCTAGCCTTTCCTTCTTTTCTTTCTTTGTCTTGTGATAAGTGCCATTGCAAGGAAGGCTCGATGGTTGTTGTCTGGCTGCTCTCAAGGATCCGTGGATGATGCGGGAGATAATGTTACAACGTGATAAGATACCCGGACCTCGTCAAGCCTAACATAGATGCTGGTTGTGGATTGATGACCAGAAAACTCACAGACTCACGAGCCATTGCGCTTCGTACAATTGGAAGAGTGAAGGGGAAGCGATTTGAACACTCCAGTATCATGTTGTCTCAAATGGATCCTCGCCAGCCACCTGGAGATCAACTGTGGCTGGGGATGGTGCCCCGGCATTGCTTGCGCTAAATCAGATCGATTGACGGCACTGCAGGCACCAGGGCGCCATGTGGCTTTGCTTTGACTACCTCTTCCTGGGCTACATACATACCTACTTCAGTTGTATGTACACTGCACTTACAATGGGGATGAGCCGGTCTCGGCAGCTGTCGGGCAGTTTGCAGTTGCAGAACTGAGGTGTGAAGATGAGACCGGGGGTCGGGTCAGTTGTCACTGTGTTGCCCGGCAAGCTTTCCCCACCACTGTTTGGTTCGGAAGGCAGCGTCGCGCAGCTACCGCACCTAACCACAACATTCAACACAACCCAACCAAAATCTCACCCTGGAGTCGCGAACAAGACTGACAGCCAGCCAGCGCTGCAGCCGCAACAAGCAAATCAAGGGAAGAGTGTGGTTGCCGTAACCTGGCCCTTTCCGACTTTACCATCTGTATCGCGAATTCTACGCTGCCGCGCGACCAAAACAGCCCTTGCTGCCGCCGTCATCTCAGTCCCTCCGTCACGAGGTGCTCGGTCCAGTCGCAACACAAACTGAAGTGTTTGGGAGAGTGGAAAGTCATGTCGTGTTAGACATATCCAGGTTGCTGTTGTCGTTGTTGGAGAAGCTGACCCTTGGACCCTTCCCTGTCGGTGACCTGCTTGCCGGGTGCATCATACATCTTCAACTCTTTTTTTTTGTTTGTTCCCCGACGTCACAGACCATCTTGCTTCCTGAAAGCGGTACCTTCAGCATCCCATCACTCCACCATTCAAGTCCCAATTCCACCCTTTGCGACGCTTTCAGCAAACTCGGATTCTTTTTTTTTTTGTCGATACTCTTTTAATACAGCAGCTGCATCGTCCATTGTTCGCGCGCGCCCTTCATTGAGCGCAGCCCATCTCCCCCTTGCACCCGGCTTTTGCTTTGACCGTGCAGGCGCAGACTGATTTCGACAACGAAGATTGCTCCGTCCATTTACGAGTTTCACGATTACGAACAAAGATTTAGGCCTCGCCCCTCGATAACCCTTTCACTCGAAGTGAGCCTTGCGAATTTGCTACTCCTGCCCACCCTCCGACATTCGGTTTTCTGAACGAGGCGCTTCACCCTCAGCTCACCATCTTTTATTCGGTAATCCCATGGATCCGTTTTGCCGGTAGCATATTTCATACACCACTTCGACCGCGGGTTTGGTGGTTCGGCCATGGCAGGGAAGATGACGCCAAATAATGTTACCGTCTCCCTTTTGCTAAGGCAGGCCATCTACTACCATCTCGACAATTGTGCCTACGAGAGCGCACTTTTCTTTGCCGAGCGACTCTACGCCCACGACCAATCCTTTTGCGATTCCGCCTATCTCCTCGCCTACACCCATTTGCGACTCGGCGACGCTCGAACCGCCTACCACGTCAGTCGGGGCTCGGGGTATAGAGGTTCGCATTTAGGGTCCTGCTACGTTTTCGCGCAGGCGTGCTTGGAGTTGGAACGATACAAAGACGGAATAACGGGCTTGGAGAATGGGAGGAAACAATGGTCCAAGGCGGACAACCTGGGGAAACATACCTCTTTTACCAGGATGCCATATCCCGATGCGGCTGCCTTTAGCTGTCTCTTGGGCAGACTTTACCGAGCATACGACGATAAGAAAAAGGCCATACCATGTTTTGAGGAGGCTCTACGACGGAATCCGTTCATGTGGGAAGCTTTCACAAACCTTTACGACATGGGAGTGAGCGTCAGAGTGCCGAACGTTTTCAGGGCGAGCGATGGTCTTGCGCAAACCCTCGAGTACGGCCTCAACGCTACGCCGATTCTTGCTTGGATTGCAGGTCCTTCTCCGCAACCACCAGAGCCCTTGCAGCAAAAGAAGACCGGCCAGCAACAAAACAGACAGCCAAGCGATCCATTCGGGCCATATGGGACATCCCAGGAATCGGCGTCGTATCCAGATTCGGAAAATGGCTTTATATCCAAAATGTATCTTTCTCAGTCAGGCATTACATCAAGTCAGCCAGGGAAACCGCTTGAGGAAACCGATACGCAATCTGCGCCTGCTCCAACCGCCCATAATTCTCAGGTTACTCGTGCCGTACACCAGGCAGAGCCGCCGCAAGCGCCACCTCGGAGAACTCGGGCGGCCCAGGCAACAGACTCTACTGTAACTGATGCACCATCCAAAACGGGACACCGTCTGGGAACAAGAAGGAAAGATAAAGCTCAAGAATCAGCCAAAGACCATGCAGAATCAGGTACCAAAACATCAACGGTTTCCACCTCAATTACTGAAAGAAAACGCACGGCGGCAGGGCACCCAGTCCAAACAAGATCGATGAACAATGAGGAACCTAGGCGAAGTGCAAGACTCAATGTAGTTCCAAGACCAACGGCAACGAAGACATCGAGCGCGGGAGCAACCCGTGAGCTGAGGAAGGCTAGGCCCCCAATATCTCGATTTGCTCGGCCGGGCTCTAGTGGAGCAAACGTTGGTCGAGTCATCAGTGGCAACCGGAAGCCGCCACAGGAGGATATTGGTATGGAAATTGACCACGCCGAGGCAGTACCACGCGCCAAGGAGCCGCCGGTGCTGCAGGCGGCACCACCTCCACCCCCCGCCCCTAAACCAGCAGAGTCTGAGTCTGTCAAGGCGGTTGAAGAAGCTTTGAAAACGATATTTGATTTGTTGAAGAAGTTGGCATCCGGTTATGCGCTTTCATCCCAGTTCCAATGCCAGGAGGCAGTGGCGGCGTACATGTCACTTCCGAGGAGTCACCAGGACACACCCTGGGTTTTGGCGCAGATGGGAAGGACGCAGTATGAACAGGCCAACTATGCCGAGGCAGAGAAATACTTCAAGCGACTTCGCGTTATTGCTCCGACTCGCCTTGAGGACATGGAGGTCTACTCGACTGTTCTGTGGCATTTAAAGAAAGAGACGGAGCTCTCATTCCTTGCCCATGAGATGATCGACTCAGTATGGGATTCACCAGAAGCCTGGTGTGCCCTCGGAAATGCATGGTCGTTGGCATATGATCATGAGCAAGCCCTGAGGTGTTTCAAGCGAGCGACGCAACTGGATCCCAAGTTTGCGTACGCCTATACCCTACAAGGACACGAGCATGTGGAGAACGAGGAATACGACAAAGCCCTCACGGCCTACCGACACGCCATAGCGGCAGACAAGCGCCACTACAATGCATACTACGGCATCGGAAGGGTCTACGAGAAGCTGGGCAACTATGACAAGGCACTGAGCCATTATCACGCTGCCTCGGTGATCCATCCGGCCCATGCGGTTTTAATCTGCTGCATAGGCTCGGTCTTGCACAGGCAGAAACAGTTCAAACAGGCCCTACCGTACTTCACCAAAGCGACCGAACTGGCTCCACGTGCCCCCGATGTCCGGCTAAAGAAGGCTCGTGCCCTTTTGCAGATGGGACAGTTAAAGGCGGCGCAGACGGAACTCATGATTCTGAAGGACTTGGCTCCAGACAGGGCCCAGGTGCACTTCCTTTTGGGCAAGCTCTCCAAGACACTGCACGATAAGAAATCGGCGGTGCGCCACTTTACCATTGCTTTGAGCTTGGATCCAAAGGTGAGTTTTGTACTTAAGGAGGCGACTGGGATAGAAGATGTTGCTAACAGTTGCTGCTATCAGGCGAGCCTTCAAATCAAGGAAGCCATTGAGAGCTTGGAGGACGACGAAGGACCGGACGATTCCATGATGCAGTGATACCCCTGAAGTTAAGTATGTTGCTTTTGGTCTTGGTGGTATGGGTATGGTGGGACATTCTTGTTTTTATGGCTACGGGTTCAGGTTGCATGATGATGCGTTTTTTTTCCAGTTACATACCCCTCAACAAATTGCTTTTGAAGAGCATGGCTTACCAGATGGATATGATGTTATTGGCGACGAATGGGTGACAAAAGCGTCATCAATCTGATGCGCGGGAGCTTCTTGCTGGGTGACGGAATGAGACAGAAAGAGCAGGCCGTTCGCTTCCAGATCCAGCTACTGCTTCACATTCGCACTCAATTTCTGCATGGAAAAGGCGTTTTTATGCTTGGGAACGGAGAACATGGGCAGGTGTGAGGAAGCCGGCGTATTGGTATATCCTCACTACTGGGTTCAGACCTCTCACCTACATGGATTTTTTTTCGAGTACGGCACACTGGACGATTAGAGGAGTAATCGTGACCTTAAAATTGCATTGGCCAGAATGTATAGTACTCATTGGCATGAGAGTCCTTAGGGAGGCCTGGCTATGTCTGCATCATGAAGGAGACCAGAATGAGTTGGCGGTTTGAGTCGGAGAGGGCCGATGAAGAAAAGAAAAGTCGTTGCAGAAGAAAAGAAGAAAACATGCGCCTGATAAGTCGGATAAGTTTTGTCGGCGTGACTTTCCAAGAGAAGAATTGCAAGAGCGGGTAGGTATCACAGGTGAAGAAGGCATCGTAGATACCAAACGAGAAGTACCGAAGTGGGACAGCCTCAGCAACCGCAAACTCGTCTAGACTCTAGAGTCGGGAAGCAAGTTTGGTAAGGGTGATCTGGGATGGAAGACTCCAGAGTGCTTTACAGTTCTAGAATATATTAATACATCGGAGGTCTTTTGCATCCCCGGATTTCCCGTTGTCCCATGTTTCCTCCTTAGTACCTATGCTTTCCACTTTCTCTTCAAGAACCTCATCCATTTCACACACGATTTCCAGCTTCAAACCAATCAGAGCGAGCCTTCAAAACAATTCGAGATCAGAATCAGCGAGGAACGGTCTCCTGGCCCGAGCGTTCATGGTTTCCAGCGACGCTAAAGCAAGGTTGGTGCGAGCACAGACCAGTTTGCGGTCTTTCCCGCTTCTCTTTGGACCAACGACACAACGCGATGTGCAGCAGGGGCCCTTTCTTTCTTGGAGGGAAAACAAACGGCTCCAAGCAGCACGCTTTTGGAGCATGAAATAACAAGCGATTTGCACGTCGCAAAATACGGCAGTTTTGATCAAGTTGTAAAAAAATAAATTCACACAACACACCCAGCAACCACCGCCTCGTAATTCCGAAAAAGGATTAGTGCCCTTTTGCTATCGCCCACCTTCCCACTCATTCCACCCTTCGTAATCAGCACCAACCCCCAAAGCCGCAATCCGGGCAGGCGCGCAGCCACCTGTTGAAACCTTTCGTGCCCTCTGGTGACCCGCTGATTCCATTTTGCAACCCCCCGTCTCCCGTGCCTATTTAACCAGATCCTCTCCCTCGCCCCAAACCCTCTCCATTTCCTGTTCCTGTTCTCAGCCTTCTTGGTGTCTGCTTTTTATCCACAAACAGTACTCCATCAATCTGTGCATCGCGTCACGGATTATCTAAATCAATACACAACCCCATCAACTACTCGACATGACTGGACGTAAGTAATACTTAATCATTTGTCTTGTTTCTACTTGTCGACGTCGCTGTCGTCGATGCATGGCTGCGCCGTTGCTTGCCCAAGAGTTCGCGATACCTTTTTGGCGGTCGAGCGTGTACGTGGGGAATGTGGTAGCGATGCATGGGGGCATAGCTCCTTAACGCGTCACGTCACCTCACTTGCAGCACACCACTTCAACCACATCACCGACGCATTGTCAACAACCACCAGCTTGCATCAGACCTCACCGTCGTCGACATTAACTTTCCACTTTTCATTCAGACAAAGCTGACATGATGACTCTATAGGCGGAAAGGGTGGCAAGGGCCTCGGCAAGGGTGGTGCCAAGCGTCATCGCAAGATTCTTAGGGACAACATTCAGGGTATCACCAAGCCCGCTATCCGCCGTCTCGCCCGTCGTGGTGGTGTCAAGCGTATTTCTGCTAGTATGTTACCTTTCCCCTCCCAATCCTTCCACCAGTCAAGAATCAGCTAACCCATTCACCAATAGTGATCTACGAGGAGACCCGTGGTGTTCTCAAGACCTTCCTCGAGGGTGTCATCCGTGACGCCGTCACCTACACCGAGCACGCCAAGCGCAAGACCGTCACCTCCCTCGACGTTGTCTACGCCCTCAAGCGCCAGGGCCGTACCCTCTACGGTTTCGGTGGTTAAATGTGATCACGAAGCTTTATACTTCTGGTTAGGGGACGTGCACGACGATAGGGAGAACAACAAACGAGCGATTGATTACTACAACATTGGCATGAATCTTTGGGCGAATTTTTGTGTGTTGCGATTCCAGTTTTGATACAACCGCACAAGGGAATGGCGTTCTTTGGGGCACACGGGTACTACCGCTTTTGACGGCTGGTTTTGGCAGGAGGCGTTGTGTTAGTCGTGGCAAAGGCAAAGGGTCGACTACATCTTTGATATGATGAGAAACATACAAAGCGAGATGGATGGTGGATGGGAAGATTTGTTGTCACAGTGCGTTGCGCATCTCCTCTCTCCATTTTCCAATTCCAGCTGTCCCCAAATGAGAGAAGGAAGATGTGTGATGGGCACGTAATAGGCTAGTCATCATCGATTACTTTACATGATAATCCAGCGTCCTCTGCAGCGTGTCTCCTCAGTTTTGGTCCTATATCACAATGTCGGTGATGTGTAATGCGTCGGTGCGGAGTGGGTTGTGAAACATTTACAACTAAACCAGGCACACGGAGCCTTGGTCTTTTCTGGCTACACGGTACCGCTCGCCGTCTCTATCTGCATGTATCAACTTAAATGCCTTCGACCCTTCCAGCTAATCTAAGGGGTATAAAACATTACAAGTACCGTACCACATCCTTTCTCGTCCCTCGCCCCATCACCACATTGATTAATTTTCAACTCCTTGGTGATATCCTGCGGCATCCACACCACCAGGCTACAGTCGGCCAGTCTCAGAGCCACCCATCCCACATCCATCCCTGTCCCTTATGTTGGTTCCCTACATCTCCCTCTCCAGGAACATCTGACCCCCCGATCCCCTTTCCACTCGGGACCACCGCCTCCAATCTTGTCTGCCCTAACGACCCAAGCCGCTCCCTGCTCTTAACAATTTGAGCATCACCACCGTCCTTTCCCTTCACCCTCCCCCAACTACTACTCTCCCACCTTACCACCCTCCCAGCTGTCACCCCACCTCCCTTGCTTGCCCTCGTATCTGTCCTACAAATACTTTCTCCCCGCAGCCGCCACCCTCGCCCGAAAAACCGGGCTCCGAATCTCCATGTTCGTCCTGTAAAACGGGCTCATGATGGCTTTCACGTAATTCTCATAGACCTCGGCAAAGAAATTCCGTATCGCTTCTTCGGTCTGTGGGGAGGTCGGGTTGGCTGCTATCGAGGTCGAGGTCCGGCTGGTACCCCCGGTCAGGGTGCTGGTGGAGGAGTTGGAGCCACCGGTGAGCGTGGATAAAGAAGGGATTACAGAGGTTGATGATGGAGGGTGGTGGGAGGATGAAACTAGAGAGGGGGTCGAAGAGGAGGCGGAGGAAGAAGGGTGGGGGAGGGCAGAGGAGGACGAGGAGGAGGGGGGTTGGTGCAATAGGAGGAATTTGATGTTGGAGGCGGTTAGGAAGCAGGAGATGTACGAGGTGAAGAAGCGGTCGACTAGTTTGAGGTACCTGAATGAAGGATATGGGGGGTTAGTGGGGGAGCTAGAAGATAGAAGGAGGAGAGGGGGAAAGGGGAAGGGGGAAGGGGGAGGAAAAGAGAGACATACATTTGCCCGTTGGTCCATTGGACTTCTTCGACTATGTCCAGACTGCTGTGGATGATGAATTGGTTGAGCTGTCGCGCTTGTTCCGTGAAGCGAGCCATGCCGTCGCCGCCTTGTTTGCTGGTGCCAAATTCATACTCGAAGAGCGGGTTATCTTGGGTGCCAATGATGGCGAAGTAGTAGCTCATGATTGCTGTCGTCCGGGTGTCGTGGTCGTGTTGCCGGTAGTTCCTTGATGCCCTGATATGATGCTCCGCAAGCTCCCCTGTCTGGTCGTGGTGGGTTGGGGGTCTTCGCTTTGTTTATTTCTGTGTCTCGTATCGTGCGTGTCTGTCGTCAAAGATGTGTTTGCGGCCAGCGCTGTTGGTTGTTGATTCGGTCGCGATATGTTCAGTGGCCCGGAATTGGGGTGGTCTGTCTTCTGTTCCAGTTGATTGCTGGGAATCGTAGGTACAGCAGCCGGTTCGGCGGGCGGGCGTGGTTGTTGGAGCTGGAGGTTCCTTCGGTGACGGACGGCGCTAATGCTGCAGGTGCACCCGTGTCAGTGTGTCCATCTGCCGCGGACAGTGCGCGGACAGCGGGGTGAGCTGTTCCGTGGGAGCAGGAAATGGAAAAGACGGAACCGGGGAATTTCACAAAAAAGATGGGGGCTCCTCGAGGCTGAACAGTGGACCTTGCAAGGGGGGTCCAGGCCTACACTACATAGAGGTACTTTTCGAGACTGGGTCTTGGCATCCGCCTCTTGAGCTGGTGTTCTTTCGGGGTTGGGGTTGGCGAACGGACCCGCGATTTTTTTGGACGGGACTGTTTGGACGACGACCGCCCGCCCGCGCCGATTCCCGCGATACCTTCGGGACCCATCCTGACGAAGCGAACCGGTTGCAGCTCTCCCCCCCAAACATCCACCACCACCACAATGTTTGGGGCTTTCAGATTCACCAACCCCCTCTCCGGGGGTCTTCTTTGGTAAGCGACTACCCTATGTTGCAGTTGCGCCAAAGGTTCTACCAGAAATGCTAATCATGTCGCGGCAAACAGGAAGATCCCATGGCGCATGTCCAAGTTCCAGAAGCTCAGGCAGCGCCGCAGACTGAGGGCCGTTGACAACGTCGTCGCCACCATTGAGAACGCTCTTGCCAAGAAGGGTGAGACCGTCAAGGCGGTGGAACGCTGGAGGGCTGAGATGCCCACCGAGGCCGAGATGCTGCCCAAGGACAAGTACACCATCTTCGACCGCAAGGAGAAGAGGTACCGCAAGGGCATCCACAGTACGGACCACCATTGTGCATCACTTCACAGCAGTCAAAGACCAAGGCTAATACGGCATTCCTTTTCCAGAGCTTCCCAAGTGGACCCGTGTGTCCCAGAGAGTCAACCCTCCCGGTTACTAAGACCTTCGACCCGGACGATGGACGATATCGTGCAAGCATGTATATCACTTGTAACATTACGCAGCGAAATGGCATGGGTGACATGGGAGATACCGGTAACAGGACCGTTTGCTTGGGGCAAAGAAGAGGAGGCCTCCTGTCTCGTCTCGCAAGGAGACTGACTGACTTGAGGTCCTGTCCATCATGGACACTCGAGCTCGCTCCATGTTGAGATACCACTGCAGAGAGCAGCGCAAACACGGCCAGGCGAGCATCACAGAAGAATGTGTGGAGCCATACCGAATGGATGGGAAATCAATAATTTCCCGAAATACCATAGCAAGATACCAATACAACAACGAATATCATGTCTTCCAAGGGGGTATTTGTCTTTCACGCTTCTCTGTTCCGCCTCCACTTGCCCTGAATGAACAAAATCCGTAATTTCAGAGCCGGCTTGCATATTTTGTGTCGATTTGTCATGACGACTAGTTGAATATCTGTGCACTGAATCATGATGCACTCCCTCATTGTCCCACGTAACTCCCATGCAATGATAACTCTAGCGCAAGCGGCCGTATTGTTCGTCGTTATCGTCGTAGCGCTTGTGGTCATGCTCCCTCATTCTCTCGGCCTGGATTTGCCGGCCAAGACCACCGCGGCCCTCGTCGTAGTCCTCACGGTACTCATCACGAACTTGGCCGCCCGACTTTCCACGGCCGTACTGTCGCCCTTCCTCGAAGCCTGGGTCGAGATCGGTTCGGATGATGCGCTCGTCCAACTTGGTGCCGCCAATGTACTTCATGCAATCGAGAGCGTCCTGATGGGTGTAGTATTCGACGAAGCAGAAACCGCACGGTGTCTTTTGTAAGCGATCGAGGCCCATGACCAAGCGCTTGATCTCGCCGCATTTGCTAAAGAGTTCGTAAACCTGTTCTTCGGTAGTGTAGAAGGAACTGCCGAGGTACATTCGGTTAGTTCTTGTTTTTTTGTTTTTTTGATTAAGGACTGGCAGCGTGGGGCAAACTTGCAGATTGCCGACGTAGAGAGTGGTCGCATCCTTCAACGGGTCATCGAACGCTTCGGGATGCATGTTACTGTCTTCATTTTCTCCATCGCGGTGGTCCCGGTCGTGACGTCTGTTGCGCCTATTCTGTGTTGAGTGGATGGGTCAGCGGTCGACGGGGTGCTAATTATGGACAGGAGAGATTGGCAATGTTTGGGCATGGAAATGCCGTCAGGAGCACTCACCTTGTTGAAAAAGTATGCACTTGGCCTGTCAAGGCGCTCTACGGTGCTCCTTTGGCGAGTGTTCAACATGGTTACCTAGTGAAGATGGATCCAATCTGCTCTTGGGTGAAAGGTGCCCTGCAACTGCGAAGAAGAAGGAAATCAAAAGCTGTCAGCCCAAGTGGAAGTTCAATGGTTTGGAGTTCTGAGACGTCGATGGGGATGATGCAGTGGTTTCCCTTGCCAATGGAATTGGACCTAGAGGTAACTTGGGTTGCCCGCTAAAGTGGAAGTACTGGACAGGCGCAGCTTTCTGAGCGCGACTGGTGTGTCCGTGGACCGCGACAGCAGCAGGCTCAGCTTCGTTCAGTTCAGTTACTTACTGTCCTCACTGTTGGCGCACAGTGTCACAGTGCATCGGACATCACTGCATGGCAATCCAGGTAGTCTTGGCACTGTAACGGGCGACGGAAGCCGTTGGTGGTGGGTCAGGTACCCTATCTTACGAGGTGCCCGCAAATATGACGACGGCAGGCAAGGGCAGAGCGATGGAAGCAAGGGCAGAGGACTTGGTGGAGGCGCTTTGTCAACAATTGCCAGCCGATTGGACCGCAATCTGGCACCCAATTTACAGGCGCGTCACAGCACAACTGTACCTACCTCGGGCTTACCATTTATAGTATGTATACAACTAGGTCTCCGTTAAGACCTCCATTCGGCCATTCCATCCCCTCTCATCCCGGGCTGCCTGCCTGTCTCCTGTTGATCAACGACCGATGGTGTGAGACGAGGCGGCGAGCACGGTCTGGACTGAACACCGGCGGACAGTTGAAACGGACTAAAGGGCTGTGGAAGGAGTGGAAACGCGCTAAAATGAAGCTAACACGATCGATCAAGGCAAGCAACGGAAAATATACGGCATAGGCACGGAAGCGGACGCCTCTAGTGACGCCCTGGACGCCTCATTTACAGCACTGGCTCGGACTGGACAATAGTGGCATCCAGCACTCGTCCATCCACGGGCATCCATCCGTAGCACTACACGCTAGTCAAACCTTGTTGTTACCATCCTGACCAGCCAACCGAGACCACTAGCAAACTTCGCTTTCCTGGCTTTTCTCCCATCGATCGAGGGGCCTGCCACTTCAAAAAGGGATCCCAATCTCTCCTTCTCTTCCCTCCCTTGGCTTCTGTTCTACTTGCTCTTGGTCACCTTTTTTTTTCCAACTTCAAAAACCGAGAACCGCCATCACATGAATAGTACCGGTACATCAATACATACGTACCTCGACCATAGTGCGCCTGCCTACCTACATAGTCAATTACCTACCCACCGACCTACATTACTTCAGCAGAGAAAGCGAAGTGCAGCACGACGACAAAACCGGCCCGTGCATGCTAGTACATAGTAGGACCTCAACACTAGCTGCTATTTCTGCCTAGCCAGACACCAACTTCGGTTTTCATTGCGCCACACGAACCACCGTCATCTGTAGGATTCATCAGGCTTGAGTTGGATAGTATAGCGACAACAGACAGCCCTTAGCACAAACCACCAAGCACAGTCGGGATGCCCAAAATCCGGAGCTTCTCGGCGCCCTGGCTCCAGGAGCCAAACCCCGGCCATAAGCTCTTTGAGCAGGCCGAGGAAACCAACCGGCTCCCCGCTTCGATAGCTTCCTCCAGGAACGCCAGTCAGGGACCCAATCGCACCATCGCACACCGAGGAAACGAGGTCTTTGTTGCCAGAGGAAGGGAAATCAGATGGGGAGATCTTGCCGATCTCAAGGACGCCTGGGAGGCCCAACAGTCACGGACCGGCTCCGCAAGCCACCTCAACGGAGATGGCTCCGATAGCTCCTTCGAGGTCTACGATGAGGAGACAAGCCGTCTTCCCCAGGGACCAGGCTACAGGGTATGTGGCTACAAATTTCCAAGACTCGGCGCATACGGCGCATCCAACATGGCCACATTGGGTACTGACATGGTTTTCCTCTTCTAGGTCATCAAGACCCCTGTCGCCTGCGAGATCCGGCAGCTGGTCATCTCCCCTAACAAGGACCAGTTGGCCGTCCTGACCTCTCACACAGTTCACGTCTGTATGCTGCCCGACACGTCCCACCTCACCTCTGGAGAGACGGCCCCCTTCAAGCCCAAGTTCTGGACCGTCGGTCCTACCACTCACGTCACCTCCAAGTCGGCTGTTGTTAGCGCACTGTGGCACCCTCTGGGCGTCAATGGCAGCTGTCTCGTAACCGTGACTGAAGACGCTGTGGTTCGCGAATGGGAGCTCTCCACTATTGATCGGTGGTCCTTCGACACCCCGACCCTCGAGGTCGACCTCAAGAAACTGGCCGACGGCACTTCATTGGACCAGGACTTCGGTGCTTCGACATCGACCAACAAAGCCTTCTCGCCCGATGACTTCGACATGAAGGTCGCTTCGGCCTGCTTTGCCTCGCGCAACTCGAACGGCTGGGCGCCAATGACTTTGTGGGTGGCCATGGCTGAGGGAGATGTTTACGCTCTGTGCCCCCTCTTGCCGCGACGCTGGTCGCCTCCTCCGACTCTCATCCCCTCGCTTTCCGTCTCTGTTGCCCAAAAGATTGAGACCCTCGAGACTGATCCGGAGGCTACTCGGGAGGAGAAGCTCCTCGCTAAGCAACAGCTAGAGTGGATGGCCGATCTCGACAATCAGGAGCCCAAACTCCTCGATGGCCCCTATGGAGAAGTCACGGAGGTGTATTCGCGCCCTTCTCGGCCGGGAAGCATTCCTCGACTGCAGGGCCCCTTCGAGTTGGCCGTTGCTCCTCAAGATGAACAAGACGACGAGGTTGAGCTGAAGGACATTTTCGTCATTGGCGCTAAACGCAACACTGCCGACCTTATGATGGGCGAAGATTTTGAGCTTTATGCGGATGATGACGATAAAGATAGTCTCTCAGTGTCTGTCATTTGCCTGTTGTCGACCAGCGGACAGGTCAAGGTCTGTCTCGATGTCGATGGAGTGGAGGCTCAATGGCTGCCTCCGCGGAACGCCTCGACCCGAGCTTTCCCTGATCAAGCCATTCCGTCTCTGCTCGTGTTCCACACTTTTGACACGCTCAAGCCAGCCGAAATCACGCCTGACAGTTGGCCGGTGTTCAGTGAGGATGTTACCACCCGCTATGCGTTCTACGTCACACATGCTGCTGGCATCACCTATGTCTCATTGGCTCCATGGGTTTCCCTCCTAGAGAGCGAGCTCCAGAGCGACTCTGAGGCGGGGGCTGACTTCCGGTTTGACCTCATGGCCAAGGGACAGCGTGCCGAGGTTGATCGCATCTACACACCCCAGCATGCCCAGAATGTCCTTGCTGCGGCTACGGCATTCAAGAGCTCCGATCTGGGCCACTTCGTTTTGTCCGCTACTCACAATGATCCGGTCATTATGTTCTTTGATACCCCTGAGAGCGAGTTGATGTCGGATCGTCAGGAGACCCCCGTGTCGACCGAACATGGAGAAACGCCTGAACCTCTCATAGTTTGGGAACCTCGGCCGCTGTTCCATCCTTCCGAAGTACTGAGCCGGCCCAGCACCCTGCCTCCGTGGGTGGATGCTCTGAGAACTAGCAGGAAGCGCCCGCTTATGCAGCAGGAGGTCCGGTTGTCGGTTGCCACCCTGGAAATCTTTACGGAAGGTCATCGTCTTGTCAGCTCCGAGGTGTTTGAGCTCAACAATGCCGTTGCGGAGCTCTTCAGGAAGTGTGAAGCACTGACATACGAGCTAAAGGAGCAAATCACCAAGGTTTATGAGGTCAACCAGCGGATCGAGACCATTTCTGGAGAAGGAGAGAGCAGGAGCACCAAGGAACAAAACATTTCCGAAGAAATGCTGGTCAGAAACAGGATAGATGTGATGAAGGTCAGACAAGAGAACCTCGCTCGCAGAGTAGACAACCTGCGCAAGCGTTTGGGTCAGGTTTCGACTCGGGAGTTGAGCGACAAGGAAAAGGCTTGGGCAGAGGAGGTCCGCAATTTGGCAGGTAGTATCTTGGGCGACGAGGAAGAAGAAGAAGATACCACCTCTGCATCTATCTCCACTGCCGGGAAGTCACTCAAGCGCTTCGAGGAGGTCCAAACTCTTAGGGACGCCTTGTTTGAGCAAGCTCAGCAGCTTCAGAGCACGGATAGCGTTGACGGTACCGCCTCGCCGATGCCCGTGATGAAGATTCCGTCGGAGATTCGAAAGCAAAAGGTTGCGCAAGTCATGAGCTTGCTGGATCGTGAAACTGCCCTCGTAGAGGCAGTGAAGTCGCGTCTTGAAAAGTTGAGTATTGAATGAGTTCATTTCTTCGGCAGGTTCTTGTTTGGACAGTTAGATAGGATGGTAAGGGGGGGTTATTTGGTTGAAACTTCTATAACAACGTCAAATAAAGTTTTTCCTTTTCCCAAAAAAAAATATTTAAAAATAATATGAATAAAACTCTGTCCTTGGTGTGTTTAAGCGTATTTTGGTTAAGATTGTCACAAGTGTGAACTTTCTAAAAGTCAGTAAATGATGGTTTAGCGATCGGGCCAACTTCTTCCTCGTGGCATGAGGTCTGCCTTGCTTGGTGTGCCATCAACAAGCCTTGGGTCGTGTATCCAACCACAGCATTCCGGGTTTGAATGTTGGCTGCTGATTCCCCGTCATCTCGATCGGAGGTTCGACCACCTAGCGGTTAATTGCCTCCGCTCTTACGCCTCATCTGCTGTGTCATCCATATTCGTCTTGCGTTCAACTAGGGTTGTAGGCGAATGTTATCGTCATTTCATCACTTATCCCATGTTTTACCTTCATTTCATGGAATTGTAAGAACAAACTTCAGGGCGGCAAGGATGACTCCAGGTAGTCAAGCCATGCATCTCCCGAGGTCCTGGATCGTCTGATCTGGTCAACGTTAAACAAGCCAGACAACAACTTGTGTATCGTCAAGGGGCATGTCAACATCTCTGTTGTGTCTCCCGACCCATGTTCGTGGCTTTTGTTGGTTGTAAGTAGAAGAGAGCTATGCATATCCCGCATGTAATCAATCAACAACAACCCATACCCAGTTTCGAGGCTCCTAACTAACACAGTTCCGAATCCTGCACAACCAAAACCGGTCATTCTCACCACCTCACCAGCCCCAGTTACCGGTCAGGTTCACACGAGCGACTACACGAGCGACTGCGGCGTACGACGTCCGACAGATAACAAGCACTCGAAAGTCAAGCAAAAGCTCAACAAAATGCCCCAACTTCGGTATGTGCCTTTCCAAATTACGCTCCCCGGCTTTATTAGCTCGAGGCTACCTGCCTGTGCTCGTTTCGGTATCTCGACAGCCTCGAGCTCCAACGAGCTTGTTACCACACCTTGGCCTCACTCAAGCGCCCCGTTACTGATACGTACACTATCCACAACCACGCTTATAGGTTACTCCTTGATCAGAAGGTGATTAATGTTTTGTTTATGCTTTCTGTGGTTGTTAAAGCTAACCCATGATCATCGTCGTGCAAGGCGGCTGTGTTGGCGATATTGTGACGGCAAGCATGCATACCCATGATTGTAGCCTCACTTTCATCAAAACCAATTGTGCGGAAGATTTGCCGTGTTAAGCTCTAATCCATTTTTTTTTTTTTTTCGAGGCTCTTGCTTGACTTTTAATTACCTACTCAGTCACTTCTTTCCATGTGACACTCAAACTAGAGACTAACTTATAGCAGACACTCTGCTATAAATATGCTGTAGTTCCTCCACGACACGACACTCACAAATCTACCATGCCTAATCTGGCGTATCTACCACGGGCTTCATAACACCCTTTTCGAAATGCTAGTGCCGTCGACTGAACCAAAGATAGTTGCAACTCCTAGTATCACTGGTCAGACTAGCGATCCCATGATGGCGCCCGTTACGGATCCATTTCCTGTCCCTGGCTTGGAAGGCTTGATCTTGGGTGAGTCATTCTACTCAGCTGGTTCACATTGCAATGCTACTTGCTATTCTCACTCATGACTGATCCTGAAAGCCTTCCAATATCACATGTATCTAACAGGAACACATTGTACTGACCTTACTTTAGAGAACTGTAGATTCTTCAGCAGTCCAGACACCGAGTTATCTCTCGTGGTCGCCAAAGAACTAGGCCAATTCAGAGCCGTGGTGCTGCAGACCAAGGAGAACTTCAGGGGTCCTCTTCTGGTCGAAACGGGACCGACCATCTACTGGGCACTTCACTCATTGATGGTCAAGTCGGCAGAGTTCGTGCAGAACTACATCCAGACCAGCGGGTACTCGGTCGTTCCCAGAACCAATGAAACCAAAGCCTACAAGGAGGCTCATGGCTTCGGTGACTCGGAGCATGGGTCTGACGATAACCAAGGGCACGATGCTGAATCGGTCACCTCCAGGTCCACTTCATGTACCTTGCCTTGCTGCGAAACTCACAAGAAAGAAACCAGAAGACCTAGGCAACGTGGAAGAAGCCTCCGATGGCGTTCCGCCTCAACTTCTCGTGAAAATAGCTACTCACGATCCCAATCACGATCCCAATCACGTTCCCGTTCTCGCGGACGATGCCGAGCAAGTTTGTCAACCTCTGGCCCTAATTCTGACTCCAGACGATTACGCTCAGGCGCAAGAAGCTCGTCCTCCAGCCGACGCTCAAATATTTGTGGCAATTTAGGTCCGGCATACACCAGTCAATCTGTCCCCGAACCATCACAACCTCCTGTTAAGCGGCATAACATGCCATATCATAACCGTATGAACGGCGTGTCTGGTGTTAATTTCCCTCCTCTACCGCCTCCACCGCCAGGGTGGTCGCTTCGGAATATGGAGTTGAATGGTGGAATTGGGAATGGAGTGAGCCACGCATCTCCTCCTTATCATCCTCCTCCTCCGCCACCGCCGCCCTTGCTTCCCGACGGCTTTGCTAGAGCGGGATCTGGAAAAGAACCATGCTGGTCATTTCAGCAGTTCAACCATTTCCAGTCTCAGAATAGGAGTTGTCATAGACAAGCGATGAGGCCGACGGACCAGTACTTGAGACCTGGTAGTATTCAGCATGTGCAATTGCCGTCACAAACACTTCCTGCTACTGCGGCTACCCAGTCAGTACCGCCGGCTTTTTCAGCAATCGATGTTGCTGTACCTGGAAGTAATCCCAAACCCAATGGTCATTCGTTAAAGCCAGAGCAGTCCCAACATCATATACCGCCGCCACCACCACCGCCGCCTCCCTTTCCACCAATGTCTCGAGTAGTCAATCATGTCTACGGTTCAGCACCCTGGCACGTCCAGAGATTGAGGGCATATACCACAGCTGGAATCATTCCTCCTCCACCACCACCACCACCTCCTCTTACTTCCATTCATGTACCCGCCTCTTCCTCTACCTCTTCCTCTTCCTCGGCAACAACCACCATAACACCCAATGCTTCTCCAAATTTACCGTCTGTTGCACCCCGCTTTTTCCAAGGGGCATCTAGCACCACCTCCTCTTCCCCTTCTGCCCCTTCCATCTCCACCTTTTCTTCTCCCAACCCCACCGCCAACCAGAACTCCATCACAATCCCATGCTCCTCCTGTGGCGACAGCGACAACAACAAGCCTACCTCCACCACCCCACCAGTCCTCATAACCATAGGATTCCCCTCCTAAATCGACGGCCCCTCCCGCCTCACCGTCCTGCGTTCTCTTCCCCGCCTTACCGTTGCCTCAATCCAAGCTGTGGTTGTTGAAACCATTGACAGGCACGACCTGTCTCTGAAGGGTTTTGGTTCGAACTCAGGGAAAGAAGAAAGCAAAGTAAGGATCAGTGCTATCAAGGCCATAGTGCCTGTATGTGGTGCTGCGTCTAGCGATCAGTCTGTTGATGAGCCAACAAGTGAAAGTGATTCAGGAGGGAGGAAAAAGAGGGAAAGCAAGGTGGTGGATATAACTGAGTTCGATGAGGATACGCAACTGGGAATTTTGTTCGATTATTGCCGTCATCATCATCAAGAAGAAAACATGAATGGAAAGGACAAAAGTGAGGTGGTCGTGGCTAGGTTTGAAGTCGAGGTGGTTGTTGAGCATGAGTGGAGTGACGAGCGCGGTGGTTCTAGTTCTATGTCTTCTTGGTCGCCTGGTGCTACTTTTGGAGCTACGGGGGGGATTAGGCTGGGACCGGAACCGGGACTGATGGGTTCAAGTTTTCCCGGTACGATGCCTCCTCTTGATCCTGGGGGGCCATGAGAAACTCGATAGGCCAGAGTGATTTAGATGGTTGCATACTGTCTGAGTGATGCGTTGCAAGAGGAGGGTGAGGTTTCAAGGTGTAAACGGGTCAACGTTTACGTGGTTGTGTATTTTCCGTATTCTCTTTTGGACTTTAATTTTTCTTCCTTTTTTCCGTTATTCGACCACTGTAATCATACTTGCCCCTTTGATCCTTCTTTCCATTTCATTTGGCTTCTCACGTTTCTTACGAGTCATTTACGACACGGTCTCTTGGACTTTCTGTTGAATTTTCAAGCGAAGGAGTTCACAAAGTTTTAGGTTGGTAAACCAAACCAAGTCCCATTGCTCGCTAGGAGTGATGCTAGGTCAATGAAGTGTGCATATCTTGTCTTAATCCCGTCTCTGTGATGACTGTGTAGGTACTGCAGTTAAGTTGAACGCCGCGCTCCTTGTGAAGTACAAATCCTTAAGAATAAGCCGTATAATTTGGGAAAGATGATTTTACGCAAAATTTTACAATCTAACCGCCGGTCTCAGGAGAGGACTCGAATCTTCGATCACATGTCGTGCCACTCTTCACGGTATGTACTCTCACCGAAAAGGGTGGTACCTCGTCTTCGGGATCCGGCTAGTTGCCTTGGTGACGGAACATGTCGTGACACTTATTTCCAGATGGTTGATTGGTTAATTGAATGATGCAATGTGTTTCGACTGCATCGTGTTCGACCTCGGTTCATGGATGTCATGTTGTCTGCCAGGGTTAACTTCGAGCCAATATCGTGCGTGCGGGCAGCACGACAGATCTGTGGTTGTCTAGATGCGGATGGGTCACTGCATGGGCGTGAGTCTCGTTTCTCTGTTTAATTGACGCTGTCACATGTTAAACAATCTTCGCGAACATTGCAGGGTGACTTTGTGTAGTACACTTCTTTCGAGTCCAGAAACTTCATGTTGTGTTGTGTTGTGTTGTGTTGTGTTGTGTCTGGCATCGGGGGGGGGGGGTGGAAGGTGAATGTCTTGGGAATTTATGAATGTCAGGTCTGGTTGTAGCCCTTGATTCGATGCCTTGATCTCAAACTATTAACCTCGTGATATCTTTTTCCGGGAACCCTTTGGGGCAGACCTTCAAGCCTTGTAATCGCCTGCTGGTGACTGAAATAATGGGTAGTCGTTAAAAGAAGCTCAGCTGCGATCAGCAATGCAGTGTACTGTCCGATTGTCTCTGCATTGAGGCCTAGGCCCTAGATCAGCACCGCTCGGAGGGCTGATACATTCTTCCAGAGCACATTCATGGTCATGGTTTGGAAGGCCGCCTAATACCTACCTATAGTTCGATCATAAGGTGGGAGCCGTCTTGAGAGTTCAAAGTGAGTCCAGAGTGAGTGATGCCTGCCTGCCTGCAGCTCTCGCGTGGCCTTTACCTTCTGCCTGCCCAGCGTCATCCGAACATTCCCGCGGCTATATAAGATCTTTGTCCTGTCCAGCTTTCCGTGGTTCGTTGGTGTAATGAGCAACATTCTTGAGGTGGAAATTCCACTTCGGTCACGGCCTTTAGGAAGATACCGGTTCGAGCCCGGTACGGACCACACTTTTCTTTCTCTTTTTTTTGCTCTGTTTGTATTTGCGGCTGGGCTAACGAACCGTTGGTCACAGTCGCAGATACTTCGGTATCGTGATGCAACATGACGATGGCACATCCATCTGGTAACGTGTCTTCGGCGTGTGAAACATGGCGAAGCAAGACCCGCTATCGCTATACCACGTATGGGCTGCACAATGAGCTTCCCTCTCAATAGAGAATTGAAGAGAGGTGGACTGCTTGGACAGGTGGCTCTCGAAAGCGCAAGTGTCAGGTTGTGCGACCTGCGTCAATCACCTTGGGATACAAACGGGGCTGTCGTCGAGGTTCGTGTTCATGTGTGATCGGGCTGTCTCGTTCGTGCTGTCTATTTTCGCCAACTCGCAATGATAGTTGTGCAAGTCCATGGCCACTATGATATTGCCTACTCGATATACCCTGTGCTCCAAATATTCAATCCAACCTTGACCCCTTTCTCGACTGGCAAGCCAGCATGCCACGCCTCAACCCAACCTCTGCCAGTACCATCCGACCGGAAATTCTCCCAGTAGACAGCATTGCCCGGAATGACTTTGAAAGTCACGCCCAATTCGGGTGTTTGTTCCAGTCCATCTCCTTTGTCGGCCGTTTTCCCGGGACATTCAATAAAAGCACACCATCGTGGATCCTTCGACCTCTTCATGCGGGGAAACTCGGTACCACCACCCACCAGGCTGCCATCACCGTCGTCGACCCAGACCATGAAGCTGCTGACACGGCCCCAACCCCCACGGTTGGAACTCCAGTCGAAGTGGTGGTTGTAGTGGCCACCCTGGCGATACCGCTGGGTACGCAGCCTCTCGATGAAGACGTTTTCCCTCCAGCCCTGGATCTCGCGGGCGCGGTTCTCGATGCACCGGACGCGGTCGGTACGGGGGATCACGGCCACTTCGGAGTCACGGACTGTGGTGTTGCGGTGGGTAGTCTGGCCGCCATCGCTGGTGGTGGTGGAGGGTTCGAAGAGAGGTTCACTTGGGTGGGGTGTTAGTAACCGATTCTTGGCAGAGGAGCTCTCGTCTAAGTAGTAGGCCAATAGGTGTTGATGGATACTAACCTAATGCCCAGCAAGTGCTCCCGCTCGTCAAGACTTAGGAAGTTCTCGATGTAGAGCACCAATGGCTCCCTTGAGTAGACATGGACCACAGGCGCGGGAGTGTGGGGCATGCATTGCAACGATGAGTTGCCCTCCAATGCAATCAGATCCTCTTTAAGGTTGAGTTTGGACAGCGGGATCCGACGAAGTTGCGGGATCTGGCCTGGACATTGCTTCGGATTCACATTGGAAAATAAAAAATCGTTGAGAGGACTGTTGAAGACAACGAGAATGCCGATTAAAGCGACTGCATAAGACAACATTTTCGCAAACCACTGTGTTCAAATCCGCGCCTCAGTAGGATGCATTTCTTACACAGAGGCACAAAGCGGGCTTGGCCGGTGACGTTGGACCAACTGGGAAAAAGTTGTGTATTGGGAGAAGACCGCCGCCGACCATCATCAAGCCCGAAAATGGTATGCACTGCGTTACGACGGAGAGAGGCGCAGTCCAGATAAGCTTCGTGCCGACGGCAAGCGGGGGATTGGTAGAGTGACAAGGGAGTCATGTTTTCGACTTGAAACAGCGTGTGATTGTCAAGGATGGTGCGTCCAGGACAGTCCTCATTTCCTCCATGTTTTACAAGGGATGTGGCGAGCCGAAGCATTGGGTTTACACAGAGTTGACAAGGCAGTCGGGATGAGCCTTTGATTAGTGTCAAGGCAACTAATATGTATGGAGATAGGAAAGCGAGAATTGAGTTCAGAGAGCATCGTGAAAAAGGAAAAGGAACAAAGGAGGGGGAGGGGGAGGGGGAGGGGGAGGGGGAGGGGCCTTTAAAGGTGTAAACAGATCAACAGAGCCCATGCATAGTGTACATGCATGCCCGCCAGGTTTGCCGCATGGTTATACAATTGCCAGGCTATCCCTTCTTAGGATTTGCTTCAAGTTACAGTTTCAACAAAGCGAAGGCCCATTGGCCTAATGGCTAAGGCGTCAGATTTCGGCTCTGAAGATTGCGCGTTCGAGTCGCGTGTGGGTCGCTTTAACTTTTGGTTTTTTTTCACCTTTTATACTTTTTGTATCATATTCCGTGGACTTTTAGCTTGGCATCTTTCACATGTTTCTCAAAACAACAAGGCTTCCTCTTCCACTCACAGCAGTGGAGTCAGCCCTGTCCTCTTTTCCCCAGCTCTCCCCTCCTCATTTTATCTCATCTGCCACGGGTGTAGCACCATCTCTCTTGGCTGTTACAAGTCAAGGAGTACTTCGGCCGCCAAGTCGGTGACGGGTTGCGAATTCGATCCTTATCCAAGTTTTGTTCTGGGAATCTTCGATGTTCGTTCCGAAACAGGACCCCCTTTTACCTTCTCTGATTCTAGAAAGGCGGGCATAATGACAAGGGCCTGCTAATAAACACTGCCGATCTTTGCGTGACCACTCGGTGCCAAGCAACTGAAGCGACCCAGGTTCCTGGATTGAGCCTCCCGCCGTGCCGTCAGCCGTTTCCTAAAAAGTATTCGGGGGCGTCACCTCCGGGCCGCGACGACATCCGCCTTCCCGACCGGCGGCTACCTTATCCTCCAGCGGCCGCTAACTGGTTACTTGCCCCCCCTTTCCCTCGCCATCCTAACATTACAGTCCCATTGCAGCAATCTGCCGTTTGTTACAGACGCGCGCGGGGTCGGCAACCATCACCAACTATACCCGATGGAGCTGAACGGAGCAAGACGGCCTCAACCACACCAGGCTCCGTCTTCTTGACGTGCTCACCATAGTACCTTGGAACTATTGTCGGAACATGTCTCCTGGCCTCTATTGGGACCTCCCTCCGTCTGACTTGGGTGGAGACTACCCGCATCTTGACGGCAAGGGAAACCAGCTCGCGTCGATAGACCTAATTAGGCCTTTGGAAAGACGGGTTGGCATCGAAGAGCTTCCCAGACGGGCTTCGCTGACAAGGAAGACAGCCGCGACCATGATCCCTCCCGCTGGCTAACCGGCTGGCTGGTTTCAACGAGGGGATGCCCACCATGCGGTAGCCTCCTCTTTGCCTTCATTCCGCTCTGGTTCACATCCCCAAACGTAAACTGCTCGTTCTAACCCCTGGATCATGGTGAGCGCGAGGTAACATACTACTCATTCCATGGGTCTGCGCTGGTATGCAAGATCTTGGCTTCATCCCTCCAAAGCCGCAATTTCGGACAGGGTTTGCCGCCCCTTCCATCTATCGGAAGTTTTGCATCAACACTCCTATTCGGTCACCTCAACATCAGTACTTCTGCTTTCGGCCGCCTGCCCCCCTAGACCGTAGATTCTGTATATAGGGAGTCCATGGAACCTTCCATCATGGCCTTCTTTCTTTCTTCACATCGCGCACCAACCGTGTGAAGTGGCCTTCTAGAACTTACTGTACAAGATGAGGACCACCTCGGCCTTTCTCAGCGGCCTGGCGGCGGTGGCTTCATGTAAGTAAACAATGACACAACGAGCCACTCATACCGCTCAACAATACTGACGTGGCGATTCTCAGTGCTGTCGCCCGCCTTCGCCCAAACCGCTCCCAAGACCTTCACTCACCCTGATACCGGCATTGTCTTCAACACATGGAGTGCTTCCTCTTCCCAGACCGCAGGTGGCTTCACTCTTGGTATGGCTCTGCCGTCAAATGCTCTTACTACCGACGCGACTGAATTCATCGGTTATCTGGTATGTTTTGGTGCGAAAGGAAGTAAAACGACCCAGTGTCCTCCTGTACTGACCTTTACGATCAGGAATGCTCCTCCGCCAAGAATGGTGCCAACAGCGGTTGGTGCGGTGTTTCTCTCAGAGGCGCCATGACCAACAATCTACTCATTACCGCCTGGCCTTCTGACGGAGAAGTCTACACCAATCTCATGTTCGCCACGGGTTACGCCATGCCCAAGAACTACGCTGGTGACGCCAAGATCACCCAGATCGCGTCCAGCGTGAACGCTACCCACTTCACCCTTGTCTTCAGGTGCCAGAACTGTTTGTCATGGGACCAAGACGGTGTCACCGGCAGCATTTCTACCAGCAATAAGGGGGCCCAGCTCGGTTGGGTCCAGGCGTTCCCCTCTCCCGGTAACCCGACTTGCCCTACCCAGATCACTCTCAGTCAACATGACAACGGCATGGGTCAGTGGGGAGCTGCCTTTGACAGCAACATTGCCAATCCCTCTTATACTGCATGGGCTGCCAAGGCCACCAAGACCGTTACTGGTTCTTGCAGTGGTCCAACCACGACCAGTATTGCCGCCACTCCTGTTCCCACTGGCGTTTCTTTTGACTACATTGTCGTTGGTGGTGGTGCCGGTGGTATTCCCGTCGCTGACAAGCTCAGCGAGTCCGGTAAGAGCGTGCTGCTCATCGAGAAGGGTTTCGCTTCCACTGGTGAGCATGGTGGTACTCTGAAGCCCGAGTGGCTGCAGAACACATCCCTTACTCGCTTCGATGTTCCCGGTCTTTGCAACCAGATCTGGGTTGACTCGGATGGCATTGCCTGCTCCGATACCGATCAGATGGCCGGCTGCGTGCTCGGCGGTGGTACGGCCATCAACGCCGGTCTCTGGTACAAGCCCTACACCAAGGACTGGGATTACCTCTTCCCCTCTGGCTGGAAGGGTAGCGATATCGCCGATGCTACCAGCAGAGCCCTCTCCCGCATTCCGGGTACCACCACTCCTTCTCAGGATGGAAAGCGCTACCTTCAGCAGGGTTTCGAGGTTCTTGCCAGCGGCCTCAAGGCGAGCGGCTGGAAGGAGGTCGATTCCCTCAAGGACAGCGAGCAGAAGAACCGCACTTTTTCCCACACCTCATACATGTACATCAATGGCGAGCGTGGTGGTCCTCTGGCGACTTACCTCGTCAGCGCCAAGAAGCGCAGCAACTTCAAGCTGTGGCTCAACACCGCTGTCAAGCGCGTCATCCGTGAGGGCGGCCACATTACCGGTGTGGAGGTTGAGGCCTTCCGCAACGGCGGCTACTCCGGAATCATCCCCGTCACCAACACCACCGGCCGCGTCGTTCTTTCCGCCGGCACCTTCGGCAGCGCCAAGATCCTTCTCCGTTCCGGCATTGGCCCCAAGGACCAGCTCGAGGTGGTCAAGGCCTCCGCCGACGGCCCTACCATGGTCAGCAACTCGTCCTGGATTGACCTCCCCGTCGGCCACAACCTGGTTGACCACACCAACACCGATACCGTCATCCAGCACAACAACGTGACCTTCTACGACTTCTACAAGGCTTGGGACAACCCCAACACGACCGACATGAACCTGTACCTCAATGGTCGCTCCGGCATCTTCGCCCAGGCCGCGCCCAACATTGGCCCCTTGTTCTGGGAGGAGATCACGGGTGCCGACGGCATCGTCCGTCAACTGCACTGGACCGCCCGCGTCGAGGGTAGCTTCGAGACCCCCGACGGCTACGCCATGACCATGAGCCAGTACCTTGGCCGTGGCGCCACCTCGCGCGGCCGCATGACCCTCAGCCCTACCCTCAACACCGTCGTGTCTGACCTCCCGTACCTCAAGGACCCTAACGACAAGGCCGCTGTCGTTCAGGGTATCGTCAACCTCCAGAAGGCTCTCGCCAACGTCAAGGGTCTCACCTGGGCTTACCCCAGCGCCAACCAGACGGCTGCTGATTTTGTTGACAAGGTAAGCTTTCTCTCCTCTTTCTTTCCCTTTTAACCTCCCGCCACCCCTTACTAACTCCGTATCCTCTAGCAACCCGTAACCTACCAATCCCGCCGCTCCAACCACTGGATGGGCACCAACAAGATGGGCACCGACGACGGCCGCAGCGGCGGCACCGCAGTCGTCGACACCAACACGCGCGTCTATGGCACTGACAACCTGTACGTGGTGGACGCCTCGATTTTCCCCGGTGTCCCGACCACCAACCCTACCGCCTACATCGTCGTCGCCGCTGAGCATGCCGCGGCCAAGATCCTGGCGCAACCCGCCAACGAGGCCGTTCCTAGGTGGGGCTGGTGCGGCGGGCCGACGTATACTGGCAGCCAGACGTGCCAGGCGCCATATAAGTGCGAGAAGCAGAATGATTGGTATTGGCAGTGTGTGTAGATGACAGAGGGTGATAGGTAGCTTGAGGGAGTTCAGAGAATGGGGGCGAGGAGGATGGTTGTTGGTAGGATGGGTTTCTTCTGTTCTTGGTGATAAAGGTGTCTGTCTCTAGAGGAGACTCTTCGCTTCTTCTGTAAATACTTGACGTATCGTTGAACATATCTAACGAACATGTACATATTTTCAATCCATTTATCATTCTGTTCACATCATAGTTTCCTGTGGTATTTAGAGCGTGCAAACTAGTCTCACTTGCATTCTGAGAATGACAGTCACAGCAGCACGGAACGAAAGTAAAAAGTCATAATCTTCATTCCCAAACCATATCTCATAACAATCATTTCTCTATAACCGAACAATACACTCAAGACACCGCGCCGCGCAGGCTATACAAAGCTAGCTGAACCCCAATGCACGTCGTCATAATCCATGAGCAAATGAAAGACCAAACAAAGCAAAAGAAAACCAAACGAAAACAAAAAGAAGCCATAAACCCTCCTTCTATGAAACAAGAGACAAGTAAACAGCCACCCTTTCTCGATGCTGCCTCTCCACGAATAAGCCTTTCATACCCCCACAACACACAAACACTGGCATCTAATATATGTCTCCTTCGCCATACCAATATCGCTTTTTCCCAACCCACCCACCCCAAAACTGTACTCCGTTCTTCCTTCCCCTCACTCCTGAAGATAAACAGGAATACCATAAACAGCAATAGCAGCCGCTGTGACATAGCGAAACCGACATGCTCCTCTCGCGCTCGCCACCGCTTCCACCAAACTCTTCTTCCCCTTCTTTCCCTCCTCCTCTTTCTCTCCCTCTTCCTTTTCCATATCACCCTCATCCGCCTTATCCAACCCCTTTCCCTTCCTCCTCCGCTTCTCTTCCTCTCTCTTCTCCTCCATTTTACTAAACACACCCGGTCCAAACAACCCCCACTCCTCCAGCAACCTCCCTGTAAACCGATCAATATCCCGATCCGTAACATCCCACAGCGTCCCCACCACCGCTGGCGCACCCGCCATCATGTAATTCCACGCCGGGCCGTAGACTTCAAACCCTTCGCCTGCCTCGTTCAGCTTGGCGGAGCTGCATCCCATCAGTAAGACCGTGGCATTACATCGAGGGGATAAGCGACGGATGGTGCGGCCGCGGATGTATTGGGCGCCGGAGCCGTGGCCGAAATACAACAAGATGTCCGAGTTGGTGAGGGCTGAGGCGAATTCAGACTCGGTGGGCGGGCGGGCGGTTATGGATGTCCAGGTGCGGGGGGAGGGGCCGAGGTGAGAGGTTAGGAGGGGGCTGAAGGTCTTTTGGGTGGTGAGGAGGTCGGAGGAGGGGTTGAGGATGTAGGTGCCGTTGACAGAAGAGGCGTGGTGGCCTTGCGGGTGAGAAAGAGATTGTGGTGATGATGACAATGTCCCGGTGGACACAAGGGGAATGGCATCAGCGTCCAACATTATTGAGTCGCCGTCTTCTTCCTTTGCGGGTTGAGCAGCAGGTCGAGGGGTCTTCATGTCTAGAATGGCGCGGCGGAGACAACCAAGACTTGGCATGCGGGATACGGCCAGGTTTTGTAAACACGGAAGGGACTCCCAGGGAAAAACGTGCAGAGCCTTGTCGAGCATGAGGATGGTGTGAGCGTGTTCGTCGCCGCCTCCGTCGAGTTCGTTGACAGCCGCGTGATAGGCGTGCAGGGCGTCCAGCATTTCGACGACCATGGAGTCAAAGTCGATCTCGTCGTAGGCGTTGCGTTCGCCGTGGAACTGGAGGATGTCGACGACAAAGTAGAGCAGGTCGGTTAGTTCCTCGTCAAGGTCGACATTTTGGTCGCCGGTATCGCCGAGACCGACGAAGAGTTCCAGGATGCGAGGATCAACGGTGACTTTCTCTGATTGCGGCTCCTGACCGCCGCCAGCTTTCTTCCCGCGATGGTGTACCTGTCTCCGGCTGGGGAGATACTTGTCCAACATGTTTTCAAACGTTGCGCCAAACTTGTTCATCAACTCCTTCCTCTTGCCGCCTTGAGTCTGGTGCTGGCTGAAGATACCCCTGAAGCCGCCGAGCCAGATCTGCTCAATGTTCGTCAACAGATCCTTCATACGATTATCCAGCGCCTCACGGTCTGCCCACCAAGCAGTCTTGGCGCCCTTGACAGTGAAGTCTCTGGCATCGTGACAAGTTTCGTTGGCCAGGCGAATAATCTCCAGCAACTCGGCCCTTCCTTGTTGGTAGTTGAACACCTCGTTGTCTGCATCGCGCGAACTGGCACGATCAAGAGGAAGTCGAAGAACGAAGGGCGTGCAGCCCGCCTGTAGCTTGGTGATGCACAGATCGTGCTTGTTGTCGCTCAGTGAGATAGACACCACACTCCAAGGCTTCGGGATAATGTCAATGTAGTCTCTCTGAAACTTTTGTAGGTCCAGCGAGAAGCCCAGACTCATCCGGCCAAGCGGCTCAACAGGCAAGTCCGTGAAATTAGGCCAGCTGTATGCATCAGTTTTGGGTCCGTTCTTCTCCAGCATGAGAGCTTTGCGTTCCCTGCGCCATGTGAGGTTACGGCCCAGCTCGACCGAATAGGCAGTGTGTCCAGAAGAGGCGAATGCTTTGGCCTTCCCAGATGATGCCGTAGCGGAAAGAAGAAGACCGACATTCTGCAGCATGACAGAGATCTTGTGAATGAGACTTGAGTCACCACAGACTGTGGCCACGGCATGGGCCTCGAGAAGGGATTGCTGGGCTTGTCGAAGATTATCCACGTACTCCGCCTTTTCCTGATCTGTGGTATCCTGAGTGGCAACCCGCTTTCTCTCTTGAAGAAGAGCTGGGTGGCCTGCAGAACCTCTATCCTTTCCTTGGGAATCGTAAACAGCAGGATATGAAATGGTGGAATCATGAATGACCGAAAACACCGGATCGTGGGCCATCTGCTCCATGCTCATGCCCAGCAGACAGGACGCCATGATCATTTGCTCGTCCGAGATGATTGCAGACAACGACTTCTTGGACCGCGTTTTGACACCTTCAAGCATCGCCAAAGCCGAATTCCAATCCCTCTTCGCCAGTTTCGCCGTAGCCTTTTGCACCATAATCGCCGCTCTGAGTTTCGAAAGCTGAGCATCCTCAACAGATTGAGGAGCAGGGACATGTGTCGCCGCCTTTGGTCTCGCCGAAAGCGCAGATCTCGAATGGACACTCTTGACTGGTTTCGACAGTTGCCGTACAGCCGCAGGCCCCTTGAGTCCCCTCATAGCCGTTCCCTTCTCCTCACTCTCCGCCTTCTCCCCAGCAACCGGCACCAACGCAGCACTAACCTCCATCAACCCTTCTAGAATCGCCTCCGCCCTCCCAATCATCGCCTCGGCGCCCTCAAAGCTCTTCAGATCCAAGCACATAGCCCCAATCTGGCAAGCCAGCACGGCCGAAGAATACGAATTGCTTTCCTCCGGGAGCAAATTAGCCGCCTCCTGCAACATTTCCATCGCCTTGGGAATGTTCGCCGCCTTGACGTACACCGAGCCCATCCAGGTCGCGCAGCCAGCTTTGAGAATCCCCGAGTTGGCGCTATTGGCAATCTTTTGTGCCTGCTCCGCGTAGTACATCGTCTCTTGGAACATGCCCAGATGCGCGTAGATGGACGACAAGCGTAGAGTGTTTCGGTACAGGGTGAGGGCGAGCTTCCACGACTCCGGCCCCAGGTAAGGCGTCCCTTTTCCGGTGGCCGAAAGGTCACAGGTAGCGTCGTCGGTATTGAACATGGCTGAGTCGTCGGTTGAGGAACGGGCGGATGATTTTGTTGCTGCTAACTGTTGTTCTACCTTGACCCAGTCCTGAAAGATGCAGCGGACGCTTTCTCGGGCGTAGACCAGAGCATGGTGGGATTCACCTCGTTCCTGGGTAACGAGAGAATGAAGATAAGAAGCATAGGCCACCAAATATTTTCGCCGAGCACGGGAGACCTTGCCTGGCATAGCTTCAGCCTCGACTGCAGCCCGGGCCTGAGAAAGATGGTATTCTGCTTGAGTGAGATCACCGGTGGCGATAAAGTGTTCTGTCCAGGAGAGGTGGAAGGTGGCAACCGCGTCACCGGATAAATTAGCCTGTTTCTTGAGATATTGCAGTGCCTCGGCGAAGGTCTGCTCAGCTTTTATGGATTGCCCTAGATTGGTGTATTGTAGAGCCAGGGTTGAGGCATGCTGAACAATGTCTTCCAGCCTGGGGCCGTCCGCTAGTCTGGCAATATCCGCCGTCAGTTCCAGGACCATAGCTACCATGTTATCGTGACCGCTCAAGCGGAGAAAGTCAGCCATGGCCTGCAGGTGATCCAGAAGGCCAGGAATATCGTCGATTGATCGTTCCACATCCGTTTTGGTTTGACAAGTCTTGACGATCGATTTCCACGTCTCAAGGCATCGTTCAACCGCTCCAAGATCAGAGTAACCATCCGACAAAGCTGTGATTGAGTGATAGAAGGCTCCCATATGCGGCACAAAGCGGGCAAGTCCAGCATCTTCGCCGAGGTTGTCCGGTTCCACCTGCGTAGCATCCCTAGTGATAGCAAGCAACTCGGGTACCTTTCGCTGGTTGCCAATGGCAGAGCTCAAGAGCGCCAACAGCACTCGGAGTCTTCGTATGGGATACCGTGTCGGGATATAAATGCGGAGCAAGGCATCCACGACAGGGTGCTCGAGAGTAATTTCTTCCTCCCTCTTTCTCTCACTCATAGTCGGGTTGCCACCCAAAAGAATGTAGTGTAACCGGTGTTCGAGTCCGGCAGCTTGTTCAGCTTCTGGTAGATCCACTGTCCAATCCATGAAGACATGCTCCATCTTTGCAATAGCCACCAGGGCACGAGATAAAGTCTCGGCCTTCTCGTCCTTTTGCCACACGATAAGCGGCGAGTCTGTCGCCAGTGCACCGACGACACTTTCGAGAATCCCGTCATCCAACATGCTCGTCCGGATGGTCTGTAGCGCGGCGAGAGCCTGCTCATTCCTGCCCAGTGTCCGAGCCATCTCGGCCATTCGTTCCAACTTCAAGATGAGCTGCGCCTTGTCTTTCTCTGCTGTCGACCTGTGCTTCACGCAATCGATCGAACGACGGAGAGCTCGTAAGGGCGCCACATCCTTGGGGTCAGTGGATTGTTGTCGTAATACATTATACTGTAGATAGTAGAAGTGCGAAATCTTGACATGGTACATGCTCTGCGGGCCGGCAGCGCCCATATCCCCGATGTATTCCAAGAGCAAAAGACAATCATTAAGAATCGAATCCATAAAGTCCCACTCCAACCTCTTCTCTTCGAGGCGTGTCTTGACGATGATGAATGATGAGTCAAGGGTATGCTGAATAGACTGTAGGAGTAGTTGACGGCGTTGTTCGTATCTGAGGTAGTCCTTTGTGCTGCTTTTGGGCTCCGGCGGTTTACCAAGCCATCGTAGACAAAACCGGGGGCATTGAAGGACGAATGATTCTAGGGATTCTCGGCAGTTGGAAGTAAAATCAGCAAACCCATCATTTTCTTTTTTTAACAGAGCAAGAAGAAGCTTCATGGCTGCCCTCCTGACCGAGCAGACGTTATTGAGTAACTCGTCGAGGTCATTGGAATCACCCCGCAGGGGGCCTGAAAGACCAGCAACTACCTCGTCGAGAAGCTGGTTATCATGACAGTACTTTACCGGGTCCTTGAGTTGGAGGGACAATAGTTGCGCTGAGATGGAGCATATCTTGGCGACCGAGTCCACCTTTGCATCGACCCCTTCTTTGAGCTTCGACGCCCAAGAAACTGCATCTGCCACCTTTCCTGCCTCTCGTGCCAGAACCGCTAAAACTTGGTAAATCTGAGAAAGAGGTGTCCTTGATGCTTCGGACAATTGTGCTCCGTACGTATCGAGCTGAGACCGAACTCTGGTATATACTGAGAGGCAAGTAGCATAAGTAGAGCGCCCGCTCTCCTGGCTCCGACGGACGAGGGCACCCATGTACCGCGAGAGAGGCATGATGATGTCCTTTTCCGCATCACCCTTGTGTTTGGCCAACTTCCACCATTGTAGCCTCGTCTCCAAAGCAAAGCATTGCAGCTCGATGGCGGATACCGGGGAGATACTAAGCCGCGGTTCTATGCTGAGCGTGTCGTCCTTGCTGGATGCGCTGGGGGTCAAGGAAATCATGCATTGAGCCAGAGTTTCCATCTGGCGGGCAATCTTGGCAACATCGGCGCCCTTTTCAGTTGCTGACCGTAGGAGGAGGGCAGTTGGTGATGAGCTATGGTCCTGGCGTAAGAGAGGAACGACCGCCTCAATCGCATTTGGCTTTTTGTTCGCGGATAGGAGGCGCAATGCCTGTATTTGTGTTGTGATAACGAGAGCAAGGGCCGGTCCCAAGGCTTTCACTTGGCCGAAATCGAGAATCTCCGTGTACACTTGCGCCGCCGTCTTGGGTGGTTCGGTAGCAGTCGTCTTGGTTGGCTTCTTTGTTGTTGTCGAACTGGACGGTGTCTCCAATCTCTTCTTCAAGATGCGCAATTCCTTGAGGGCTTGATCGTGTAGTCCTAGCGTAATCAACCTGGCGATTAGAGAAGACATGCCGGTCTCTAACTGTAACTCGGGGAGCGTGAGCTTGCTGGACGTGTGTAACTGGCGCAGAGTGCCCAAGGCAACACGAGCGCATTCAACCGTGGCAAGGAGGTTTGTGTCATGCTTCGGAGCCTTGGCTGGCGAGAGAGAGCGCTTCGAGAGGGCCGGAGAAGTGGTGACTCTGTTCAGGGCACGAGGCTGTAGGGGAGATAACGGTGTCGAGTTGGTAGAGCTACATCGTTGGAGCGGGTTTCTCGTCGTGGCTGACCTCAACAATTCCTCCTCTTGGGGCGCTGGCCGCTTGGTAGGCGTTGGAGGTCTCGCGGTTGTTGGTGGGTTCTTTGCATAGTCGCTCAGGGCGCGAAGGGTTCCGTTGACAACATGTGTTGCCAATGTCGCCTTTTCCTTGGGCGAGAGTCCGTTATCTTTCTTTGAGGCTGTGGTAGCCTTGGTGGCTGTGTTGTTTGCTCTCGACCGCGGCCTCGTTGATGACGCTGTCTTTGTTGTTGTTGTTATTTCTGCCGCGGCCGTGGCATCGTCTTTGGGCAAAAGCAGGCTCTTGAGAAGAGCTGTGATGGCGGGCGTACATGTTGTCACCGAAGAGACGGCGCTGCGCGCGGCGTCAGCTTGGGAGTGTATGGTATCCATGAAGCTGTCGTGATGTAGAGAGAGAAGGTCTAATGGGCTGATTCCTAATCATGTCATCGCCTATAACGTAGGTAGAGGACTAGGGACACTATCCAAAAGACGGCAAAAGAGGGTAGTGCATGAAGGATGGCTGGATTGTAAATAAGATGTGGAAGCAAACGCCAAGGTGGATCGCGAATTGGTGTCCAACAATGGAGCTCCCCCCGGTCACGAATCCGGCTGCTGAAGACGGGGAGAACGAACCCTTGTTGGCGGGATGTTGACTTGGTCGCAACAAAGATTCAACGAGTTCAAGTTGCCCGGGCAACTGCAACGCAGGTACGAAAGCACACGGTACGTACCTCGCTGCGTGGGGCGCATTGGCCAGACAGCGGGATGGAATGACAGAAAGACCCCACCTTTGCCTGCCGTGTCAGGTGGGATGTCACTTGTGGGAATTTTGGCGCTGTGTCACTGCAACTGAACTGAACTGAACTCGAGTGAACTTTTTGCCCGAAGAAGAACGAAGCTTCGAGTCGTCTTCTCACTTTCTCTTTTCAGGGTCTCTCCCAGTTTCTCTTCAGCCAACACTTGATTTCGACAACTGCCCTGATCCGTCGCAATCCTACTCAGGCTTCAATAGCCACCGAATCCCAACACAAGACAACGCGACATTTCCGAATTGCTACCATGCGCCGAACTTCTCTTCCTCAGCGCCTTGGGCGCAATGCGCATGCTGCCTTGCTCCATCGTCAAGTCCCCTCGACAGTTCTTCGAGCTTCGTTTTCAACCTCGATCCGCCTCGCGAGCGGCGCCCCGGATGTAATCGTCCCTAGAGTCGCCAAAGTGTCCTTTTGGAAGTCGTTGGTTCCCAAGTTCTTGCGATTCGGCGATGACTCCATCAACCACACAAAGATGCCGAAATCGACCGAGTGGAACCCGGCCACCTTCTTTATCATCATTTTTCTAATGATCGGTTCCATGGCTATCCAGATGATCTCGCTCAAAAAAGACTATGCGGCCTTTTCGCGCCAGGCCGATGTCAGGATCAATACCTTGCGTGAGGTGGTCGAGAGGATACAGAAGGGTGAAGAGGTGGATGTTGAGAAGGTGTTGGGCACTGGCGATCCGGAGAAGGAGGCTGCTTGGGATGAAGGTTCGTTAAACGCAGGTGGACATGATACGGAGAGCACCAGCTGACATCAAAATTTGACAACAGTCCTCAAGGAGATCGAACGCGAAGAGATCATGCACAAGGCAAAGCAACAAAAGGCGGCGAAACTTGCCCAGCAAGCCAAGGCAGAGCCCGCAAAGGAACAACCCCAGACGCAGACCGAGACAACGCCCAAGATCTCGCCTGCAGCCCTCAAGGGTGCCTTCTTCTAAGTCGACAAGACCTCTTTTATTCTATTATAGATGGGCGTCCGTTAGCGGACTCGTTCAGTAAACAAGGTGCCCACGGGTACCTCGGCCACCATGGCCCCATTGTTATAACTCTTGAGCTCCTCCACGAGCGCCGGTAACAGCTGTTCAGTAGCCATCTCCACTCTAACCCCATGAGGACCGGCCATCTTAGGGTCTAGATCTTCAAAGAACATCTCTTCGCGCCTCACACCACCGATGCTCACAATGGCTATAGGCATTCCTCGGAGCTTCGCCCGCTGTGCCAGCCGCCAGGCCGAGTAGGTCGCGAGAGAGGTGCCCAGGATGAGCATTCGTCCGGCATTGTCAATGGCCTTTTCCGCCTCGCCCTTGACCTCAGCGCTTATACTCTCTCCAAACATGATTACTGCCGGTTTCAGAACTCCCGCAGTACTGGACGGTATCCATGCACCATCTTTGTCGATTTCTACCCATGTCTTGGTGCCATCTGCAAGACGCGGCGGCTCCTTCAAACATGACGGACATGCTGGGTAACGAAACGTGGTGTAAGGTGCCTCGGCCAGGTCCACATCACCATCTGGGTTCATCTTGATACTCTTTTTGTTCCGTTCTTCAATGTCCTCCGTCTCCAGGGCTCCCGATGCCAGCGCCTCGCGAAGGAAATCAGCCCAAATCGGGTTGAGCCTGGCCAGTGTGGTCTGATACTCGTCTCGAGGAAATTGGTTCCGGCACGATGTACAAACAACCGAGGCTAGAGTTCCGTGCAATTCGACGGTTTGTATATCGGGATGGCTCATTTTATGGAAGGAATCGACATTCTGTGTGATTACACCCGTAATGCTTTTGTTGTTTCGGTCACCGCTGTAGCGCTCGGTGAGTAGATTCCCAAGGTCCCGGATCGCGTAGTGGCCCGGGTTCGGGCCGGCCCGTCCCAGACCCCTCCATCCGATGTAGCTCCGTGCCCAGTATCGCTGTCGCGTCTCGTGGCTGGCGAGGAACTCGTGGTGGAAAATCGGCTTGTAGTCCTTATTGACCCGGTAGGTGCCGTTGACGCCACGGTAGTCGGCTAAGCCGCTGGCCACGGAAAGGCCGGCACCGGTGAGGATGACAGTTCGATTGGGTAAACCGGACGGCGGAGGGGTGGTGAGGAATGACTTGAGAGCAGCCACGGCGCCGGGCAGGGTCGTGGCGGTGGCAGGTATGATGGTGGTCGGGGGAGGCAGCTCTCGGTAGGGAATCCGCATTCGGAGGGTGCCGGCTGCTGTTGTCGCAAGGGTGGACATTTTGATGTGCTGCTGTATGATTCGGGTCTGATGGGTGGCAGTATTTGTTGTTGGGGATCACGAGGCGGCATACGCCGCTACCTACAATGCCAAATTTCCATGTTGGTTGTTGTGAGGTTTGTCTCAGTCCAGATGCAGAATCATAGTGGCACTCGGTGAGATCGAGTCAGTGTCGTCACCGAAGATCCGAAAGCTTGGGCCATCTTGGCATCTTTCTGCATGAGCTGCGGAACAAAGAACAATTGTTTACTTGCCCCTTTCGAAGAACACGATGGTCAATGACATATAACGAATTAGCTTGAACTTGATAGAATAGTTGTTGAAGTTTTCCAGACTGGTTTCTTTTTGTAACACTCCAATTGAGGAGGTGTGAATATCCTGTGTTCCCATTGTTCTAGCTTTGCTCACATAGACTACACCATTACGGGATCTTGTCCCGCCCCTTGCTTGGTGGGGTGGCTGGAAGCTTTTGTCTTCATAACACCTCAATATGGTGCTAAAACTCAACAAAGTCGTATGGTCTAATGGTTATGATTTCTCGTTCACATTAGCTGAATTTGATCCGAGAAGGTTCTGGGTTCGATCCCCAGTACGACTAAGTTTTTGACTTTTTCTTCACAACGGACATACGTTTCCATCACTCAGTCTGTTATTTTTCCTTTTTGGTTTTTTGTCTTTGATCCCGTCTTCCAAATGCCGAGAAATAGCGCTCTATGGATGGGATGGTGACAAGTTTCCAGCAAAGTCGATTTTCAATTTTGGTTGTCAACATCAAGACGTTGAATAATATCGATCCTAAACTATTCTCTGAGCTTTGATCTGATGACATTGACTAACTAAACTATCCTCTCTGAACCCCGAAAGCTCGAGTATTTTGTCGCATGAATATTTGCGCAAGCACCATCACTTGTTCAGGCTTTCTTTTTGTAACATTATCTTGTGTCAACATGATGGATCAACACTCATTGCGTGTCCCCCCTGAACCCCCTTTTCGAGTTTGTTTGTATGCAGCCAATACATGATGCCTCACCCTCGACTCTTTCAGAGAGCCATGCATGCAAAGACACGCAATAGCTCCTACTAGCTGCCCTCATTCGCACAACGCATAAAGTAGAAATCCTTTCTTACTTCACAACAGTTGGATCTCATCCATTATCAGATGCGACCGGATGGCTGAAGGACTTCACAAAGGTCCCACGGCATTGGCGATGGCGTGCGAATCGAACGTTGGGAACACGGGGAGAGGGGCAGGGAGTGGTGGGGAAGTGGACCAGCTAAAGAGCTCACTTGCTGCCCTGGAACATGCGCCGAAGCCAAGCCGATCAGGGACGGGTCCACGCCGACGGGACCTGCCCGGGACTCAGCCGCGCCAGCCCAGGATGGCCTAGTGTAGTCAGTTTAGCGGGCAGTCAACCACCTCAACAGTCGCTGCACCACAGGCAGGGCCAAGTATCGGTCAAGTACCCGCCTCTGTCTGGTACTAACCTCCTGGTTTATTACTACTGGCAGGTACCACTACCCCATCGGCCGGTATCGATTCCCAAACCACCAAAACACTGAAAGTCCCCCCCTATCTCAGCTCCCGTCTAACACTCAGTAATCCATAATCGAGTCCAAGATTTCCTTACTACACTATTATTCCCTTATTCCTACGAGCTACCAGCTAGCAGCTTACTGCCCTAATCCCTCCCGATGTCCGGCCGTTTCGTCAGAGCGTCGAAGTATCGTATGTCGATCCCCCGTGTTCCTCCCCCGAAGGCTCCTTAGCACACCAGCTGGACGGATACTGTAGCTCCCGAGGTAGCGCGCCGTATCCACGATGGGAGTCGCGACGAGCTTGGAGAGAGAGACCTGGACTGACACGATAGCCGCGACTGCTAGGACACGTCTTCGGCAAGCCCACGCGCAAGGAGTTCTGCTATGACAACCTCCGCATCAGCCACAATGCCTGGGACACCAACCTCATAAAGGTAGGTACCTACCTGTTTATACACTCCTTATGCTACTACGCTCTTCTCCACCACTTGCGCCCTATCGGTAGCTTCCATGGTCGTTATATACTGACCCTGTCTTTGTCTCGTCTACACCTAGGCCAACCCCGAGTACTTGGCCGTCAACTGGGAGTCGAGCGGTGGTGGCGCCTTCGCCGTCATCCCCCTCAACGAGCGCGGCAAGCTTCCCGACCAAATACCGCTGTTCCGTGGCCACACCGCCGCCGTCCTCGACACTGACTGGTACGCTCTTGCGCATGCGCTACAACGACCCGACAAGACAATCTGACCTAGGCTCCTCTTAGGAACCCCTTCAACGACCGCTTGATCGCCTCTGCCTCCGACGATGGAAAGGTGTTTGTCTGGCAGGTTCCCGAGAACTTCACCCTCTATACAGACGCCGAAGAGCCAGCCGATGTCTCACCCCTCAGCAAGCTCTCTGGCCACACGAGGTACGATCTACACCCTGAAGATAAGATTCAGTAAGGCTTGCGCTCACACAAACACAGAAAGGTCGGCCATGTCCTCTTCAACCCCGCCGCCGAAAACATTCTCGCCTCGTCCTCCGGCGACTTGACGGTCAAGTTCTGGGACGTCGAGACCGGCCAAGCCCCCATCACCATCAAGCACCCCGACATTGTGCAGTCTTTGTCGTGGAGCGCCAACGGCACCATGCTTGTCACCACCTCTCGCGACAAGAAGCTGCGCGTGTGGGATGTGCGCCAGCAGTCTGCAGTCCACGAATACCAGGGCCACGAGGGCGCCAAGAACAGTCGCGCTGTATGGCTTGGTGAACACAACCGTATCGCTACCACTGGTTTCTCCAGGATGAGTGACCGTCAGGTTGCCCTGTGGGAGCCTGGCAGGAAGGACCCCATCGGTGGTTTCACCTCGCTCGACTCCATCTCTGGTGTCTGCATGCCTTTCTGGGGTAAGTCACGCTTGCTGGATTATGGCTTTTGTATGCGCCGAAGCTAACTGTGGTTTTTTTTTTTCGCAGATGACGGCTCTAACTGCCTGTACCTTGCTGGCAAGGGGTAAGTTTGTCGCAACCCGAGATAGGAACGATAGGTAGCATGCTAACGTCCGCAGTGATGGCAACATTCGTTATTTCGAGTACGAGAACGACAAGTTGGAGTTCCTGGCCGAGTACAAGTCTGGTGACCCCCAGAGAGGTATTGCTTTTGTGCCTCGCCGTGGTGTCAACGTCCACGAGAACGAAATCATGAGGGCATACAAGACCGTCAACGATCAGTACATCGAGCCCATCTCCTTCACCGTGCCCCGTCGTGCCGAGACCTTCCAGTCCGACATCTACCCCCCTGCGACCGGCCTCAAGCCCGCCGTGTCCGCCCAGGAGTGGTTTGACGGCAAGGACGGCATCCCGGCCAAGATCGACATGGAGAGCATCTACGAGGGTACCGCACCCAGGGAAGTTCCGGCCGATTACAAGCCTCCCACTGCTGTCTCGTCTCCTATCCAGCCCCCCGTGTCCAAGATGGAATCCACGCCCCCACCCGCTACTCGTGTGCCCACGTCGACCGTGGCGGACCAGAAGGCCTCCATGTCCGCTATTGCAAACAAGTTCCAGGATAACGAGGACGCCGAGCCAAGTGAGGGCGAGTCCTCTCCCTTCGAGGAGGTTTCGCGCCCCGCTGCTAGAGCCGCCGCCCCGGTTTCTGTGCGAACATCCCTTCCTCCCGCTTCCGCCGGCAAGACACCTTCCCCGACGACGTACCAGACCCCAGTCCAGAAGCTTGCCTCGCCAGTCAGGACCACCGCAGCCGCCCCTGCGCCGGCTCCTGCCGCTTCCCCTTCCTCGGGAAACGTCGAGGCCTCTCTTTCCCAGATCACGCAGCTTCTTGAGCAGCAGAGCAGGATTATTGGTGCACAGAGCGACAAGATCCAGGCCCAGAGTCAGATCATCAGCCATCTTGCCACCGAAGTCGAGACCCTCAAGAAGAGGGTCGGACCCGGGCCGCAGGATCAGAGCGAGAGAATCAGACAGTTGGAGCTGGAGCTCGAGGCTGCTAGGTCGTAGAAGTCAGAGTTTTGAGAGTTCAGGTCCAAAGTTTATACGTCCCTCTCGCTCTCTCACTGGGTTATACTGTCAGACCAGTCCTTGAACATACTTCTCTCTCTTACCGAGTTATAATGAAAGTCAACGTTGTTGGGGTAAGTAGTAGTTGGACACGTAGGGGATGGATGCAGGATGATTGGATGACGACGATATAGCTTCAAATGGGGCATGAAATGAAAAGCAAGCAAGCAATTTGAAGCAGATGAAGATCAAGAAGGAGAACAAGGACAGCATAGCCAAGGCAAGCAAAGGAAAGCGTTCAATTGGTGTCTTTGGAGTATAGTAACTAGTTTTTCAACCTGTTCGTGCTGTATGATGTTCGTGTGAGCTCTCCCGATTTGTTGATGTAGGGAAGTTATCTAGGATATGGACATACTGCCCGGTAACGATTACGGTTTCGGTATGGACATTGGAAATCTGTATTCTTGTATTCTTACGTGAGGCAAGTTAAACAAAAGAAAGTAACCTGTTGACGGCATCAAACCCTTACCTACGTGACACACGAGACGGCCGGCCTAGTTAATACTCATTCATCATTGACTCCCGAACATGATCTACAAGCGGGTAACTATCCTCATCCCCACCTACCCCTTCACTTCCAATCCACCCTCCCTCACCCCCCACATCATCATCATCATCATCGTCGTCGTCGTCATCACAACGATCACCCAAAAACCTCAAGATATCCTCATCCTCACTGGCATCAACCACCAACTCCAAATCATCAGCCAGTATCCGTCTCTCATGGTCCGAGTCCTCTCCCTTTCCCCCCTCCCAGTCTTTATTACCATCATCCTCAGCCCATTCTTGACGAGTCTGGTTCTTCTTCCTCCTCGTCGACCCTCCTGACACTGGTGACTCACCGGTATCCGTACGAACACTACGACCACTACCATCCATAGAGGTACCCATTCGCAGCATTCGCTCCCGCTTACGTTGTTGATAGCCAGCGAACCACTCAGCTGCAGTCTTCCGCCCCTTGTTCTCCTCCTCATCTTCGGTCGAGGAGGAAGAGGAGGACCAGCAGGAGGAGGTTGTCCATCTCGATCTGTATACCTTGCTGCAGCTTCTTCTTTTCTTTTTAACACCCCTCCAATTGCGGAAGGTGGTGCGCTTGATGGCTTTGGCGTAATTGAAATCAGCCGGTTGAGCTTCTTGGGTCCAAAAGTTGTGCAGGCGGTGGCGGCGGTGGGAGAAATATTCGGTGGGTGTGCAAGGGGGAAGTTCAAAAGGCTCGGGGTGGGAGGTGTCGGATTCCTGGGAGGGTTGTACTTGATCTTTCGGTTCGTTTTCCTTCTTCTTCTTCTCCTCTTGTTGTTCTCCATCCTCCTTTTTACCTCCCGCGGTACGAACCCCCTCCTCCCTCGCCCTCTTACCCCCCATCACCCACTCCTTGATCTCTCCATCCTGTATCCTTCTCTCCTCCTTTCTCCTCCGCATCTTCACTAAACCCTCACTCAAGAACTCCAACTCCCTTTTCCGCCAACTCGGCAACGCAAACTGTCTTTGCAAATCCTCCTGAGTCAAGAACCCTCCGAGTCGGCTTTCAAGTGGTAAATACCCCTCTGCCGCAGATATCGCTTCTTTCTTGCGTTTATCCGTCTGCTCGTAACTTCTCATGACGTCCCGTATCTGGTCTCTCACAATCTGCAGCAAGTCTTCGTCTTCTCTTCCCTCTAGGCCTGTGGTCCTGACATACGCGATGAAGGGAACTTCAGAGTTGAAAAACCTTTTCAGTCCTGGCGTTTGTTTGGTTTTCACACGCTTTTGCGTCATCTCCTCCATTTCCTTACCTTGTCGTGTTGTTTCGGGGTAAATCAAATCTGCAAGATCCCGCTTCGTTACCTTTATTGCTGTTACGGCCGCGAAAAGGGGGTGATCTATCCACTCTTCTCTGTTCAATTCCCACTTCTTTCTTTCCAACTTTTGTTTCCCCATGACGACCTCCTCCTGCCCCCTTGGCTTCCAGATCCATGATGTCATTTTATTCAGGACGTAGTTTGATGATAGTCGTTCTGGTGGTGAGGGTGGTGGTGCAGGAGGTGACTCCGGGTGTTTTTTGACTGGGGGAGAGGAGGAGGGTGTGAGGATTGGGGAGGTAGTAGAGTTGGTGGACTTGATGGATCTTTTGGAGAGGGAAGTCTTGGATGAGACGTTTGACTTGGCGTCGGAATCGGATGCATTAGGGTCGGTATTGCTTTCATTGTCGGTGTTCTGGTTGTTGTTGGTGTTGTTGTTGGCATCATGACCGGGCAGATCGAGCGAGGTCGAGCTTTTTTGCTGTAGTGCTGGATTCTCCGTGGATAATTTCGCCGATTTGCCAGACTTATCAGTCCGTTCAACCTTTCCCGAAGCAAAAGGTCCATCCACATCCTCGTCGTTCACAGAACCCTCCCGAATCTTCCTAAGTCTCGCAATCCGCCGTGCCCTGCTCACCAGTGATTCTAAAGGTCTCTTTTCATCATTCCCACCACCTGCACCACCACCATGTCCTCTACCACCAACACCCGACAACTCCTTGGTAACACTCACCTCTCCAGTGTCTTTCTTCCCGCCATCATTTAAAGACCCCTTCCCCTCCCCCTCCCCCTCCCTCAACCTCCCCGAACCCACCACCGGCACCCACACCCTACCCCCCATCGGTGCTACATTCCGTGCTCCATCCATCTCCCTCAACACGCACCACTCAATCCCATCCCTCACACACCTCGAACACCTCACCTGTAATCCTGGAACTGGGAGAGGAATGTCCAGTTTTCTCCTGTACATGTACCACCGAGGCGGGATCATTTTGGGGCGTCGTTTTTGGTCACGCTGTTCGCCATGGTTGAGTAAGTTGAGGAGGGAGCACCGCGGAGAGGAGGAGACGAGGGAGCAGTGGAGGCAGGGGACGGAGGGAGTATACACTGTTAGGTCTATGGGGTACGGGTAAGGAGGGAGACGGAGTGGATTATTGTCGGATGGATGTGGAAGGGGGTTGTGGGTTTGGCGGGAAGGGAGGGTCGTGTTATCTGGCTGGGACATGGTTAGGCAATATCGGCTTGTAAAGAAACATCGGCTGATGACTGGTGAGAAGATTCTTAAAGTTGAAAGTTTGCTCCGTGGAAGGGTTGGTATATATGTTGAGATTCTTCCATCTTCAAGATGAATAGTCCAGGAGTTGCTGTCTCGTTGCTGCTTTGTCGACAAATCAGCAGATAAAAGCATTGTGGTGCGGGTGGTGTCAGGGTGTGGAAGTCCATAGTGTCTGTCATTTGAACACTGAGAATGTCCCGGTATGAATCGGGACAAAGAATAAGGGGTCAGTCAGTATCCCTCCAGTCTTCTCCAGCAATCCATATCAGTTCTGTTCTGTCACATTCGAATTCTGAGCCGTCAGAACCGCGAATATAATCACAGTTTCACCTGTTAGGGATCCGTCTAGAGGTACCGACCGAAACAGACTTAATTTTTGGGCCTTAACCGCACCGTAAGCTTTTTACCTGACAGACTTGGCAGCCTTAACAAACTCCCTAATCTTCTCCAAGCTCTGTTGGCCTCCCTCCTCAACACCACTGCTAACATCAACACCAATCACCCTCTCACTCAGAGGCCCCAGAGATTTCACCGTCTCGACAACATTGCTAGGCTCCAGTCCGCCCGCAAGCAAGACAGTAACCTGCTCATCCTTCTCCAACTCCTTCTTGACAGACTCCAAGTCCAACAACGTGCCGGATCCAGCGCCCGAATCCAGCAGGGGCACGGCATGGTACCCACGGGTCGCAAGACCGACCTGGCCGGGCTTGAACTTGCGGACAACGGGGACTGGAATAAGGTTGGCCCACTCGAGCGGCTCGTCACCGTGGAGCTGGACGCTATCGAGATCGTAGACATGCTGCTTCTCGAGTACCTCCTCAAGGGGCTGGTTCATGAAGACACCTACCAGCAGAGGTCCCCGCTTGCGGATGATCTCGGCGTTGATGTTGAAAAAGTCCCTTGCGGACTTGGAGACTTGCGAGGAGACCTCGGTGGATCCGGTCTTCTTGCTCATGTGCACAGCCTGGGAGATGGAAAGGGCGGTCTCATGGTCGACACAGCGCTTGGTGCCCGGCACGAGAATCATGCCCACGAGGTCAGCACCGGCCTTGATCGCTTCCGCGGCGGCCTCAGCAGAACGAGTACCGCAGATCTTGACAAGCAGCGGCTCGGCGGCGGACTTGGGCACGGGGCCGGTCAGGCCGGCGCAGAGCTCACGGATGAACTGAGTGGCATCAGGGGCACGCATGATGGCCTCGCCGACAAGAATACCGTTGACACCATCGCGCTTGCAGTCAAGAACATCTTGGTGAGTGTTGATGCCGCTGAGAGCGCAGAGGAAGGTGTCGCTGGGGACCATGCTACGGAGACGGCCGGTAGTGCCAAGGTCGACTTCGAAGCTCTCGAGATTGCGGTTGTTGACGCCGATAACCTTGGCGCCGAGCTTGATGGCCGTGGCCATCTCTTCGGTGTTCTGGACCTCGACTAGGGGCTCCATGCCGAGAGACAGGGAGTACTTGTATAGGCGCTCGAGGAGCTCATACTCAAGCATCTTGACAATGAGGAGAACAGTGTCAGCACCGGCAAGTCTGGCTTCGAGGATCTGGTACTCGTCAAAGATGAATTCCTTGCGGAGGACGGCGGGCCGGTTGGGCATGCCGTTGAGGACCTGGCGGACAGCACGGAGGTCATCGATGCTGCCCTTGAACCACTCTGGCTCGGTCAGGACCGAGATGACACTCGCGCCGGCAAGCGCATACTTGCGAGCTTGGGACGGAGCGTCGATATCAAGCGCAAAGACACCCTTGGAGGGAGATGCCCTCTTGATCTCGGCGCAAAGAGCGACATCGAAGGGGGAATTGCGAAGACGGTCGACAAGAGAGATTTGAGGAGGGGCGATGCTCAGGTTATAAGCGGCTTGGAGGTCAGAAGGTCTTAGGGAAGGAATCTGCTTCTGAGCATCCACAGCAGCCTTGCGGTGGGCGTAAATCTTTTGGAGGATGTTGCTCTTCTTGGGCGTGGAAGCGTCGGACTTTGTGTTGGCGGCTTGTGCCTGGGCGGCCTTTTGCAGTCTCTCGTTCTCCGCCCAAGTGCCTCCCTGCATGTGAAGGAAGTTCCGGAACATGCCACGACCCTCGGCAGACAGAATACTCTCCGGGTGGAACTGAACACCCTCAATGGTGTACTCCTTGTGGCGGACACCCATGATGACACCCTTGGAACCATCCTCCTTCGCAATCCAAGAGGTAACCTCCAAGCACTCGGGAAGGGTGACATGAGTACCGGCAAGAGAGTGATATCTCGTCACTGGCAGATCCTGAGATAGACCGGCATATGCGCCCTTGCCGTCGTGGCAAAGAGGAGAGGTCTTTCCGTGCAGAATCTCACCGGCAAAGCTCACGTCGCCGCCGTAGACGTCAAAGATGCACTGCTGGCCCATGCACACGCCAAAGATGGGGATCTTACCGGCGAAGTGCCTGATGGCATCGCGCGAGATACCGGAGTCGGTGCCGGGATGGCCGGGCCCAGGGCTGATGACAAGCTGGGTGGGATTCTTTGCGATGAGCTCGTCGATGGTGATCTGGTCGTTGCGGAAGACGGTCACCTTGGCGCCCTCGAGGACGAGGTACTGGTAGACGTTCCAGGTAAAGGAATCATAGTTGTCGATGAGGATGAGGTTGGAGGCGGTTGGCACCAAGGGCGAAGGAGCGGAATCGTGGGGAGAGTGGTCGACGACTGAGGAGGACGACATTGTGATTGGATTTGTGGGAGTGCCGTACAGTATTGAGGGTGTTCCTGAAGGAGTCTGAGGTGCAGCTGTGGTGTAAATGCTTGAGTGTAATTACCAAACGAAACACGAATGAACCCCAAGACGCCCGACCTCGGATGCAGTAACGGAAGTAGCACTGCCTAGAACTAGTTGTTGATAGGTAATGTAAGTATCACTCCTCCATGAATACAAAGACTCTATTTGTTGTGAAGAAGTCAAAATGACGAGAGTCTATAATACGTACCTGTTTATCTGAGATTGAAGCGTTTCACAAGTGCTTGCGCAAGGTGTCTTTTGTGAGTGAGTCACTTGCACTTTGTTCAATGTTTAGGCGTGAGTTACTTTGAGCTGTGTATTATACAATGTATGTAAATTCCATCAATGAGAGATGCGACCAGGGAGTGGCGCTAAAACAACTTGAAGCGTTTACAAATCACCTCTCAACGCCGGGATGCAAGTGGCTCTCAATGGCTCAATGGCTTCCCAAAACCGACATGAATAAGAAAGCGGATGTTCGTCTACGAGCTTTGTGAGCTTCACACGCAGTTCCCTTGCCTCCAGCTCCCGTTTGTTTTGCGAGCTTGTATTAAGAACACTGCAGAAAGAAAAAAAAAAAGAGGGCCCAAGCGTCGGCCGTCATCCCGTTCAAACCGGTGTTGTTCTGAATGTTCCGTTTTGAAACATTGAAATCCCTTATCTCTTATCGGAGAGAGAGAGGCCCCACCAAAAGTGGAAATCCATTCTTGGTACCTACACTCACTGACGGGACTGCAGTGGAGTGCTCTGTCGCAAAAAAACACAGTGGGAATTCTTTGGTCCCGCGATTCTTCCACTTTGGCGGGAAAAGCGTTAAAGCTCCCGCGCTGCTGCTGCTGCTCACAGGTGCCCTGCACACCAGCCGCGTCACAGTCAGGGAAGGAAAGCGCGTCAAGCAAATACTACAGCAGAGCAGCCAAGCAAAGGAACCTACCAACCAACGGAATCTCGAATCCGCCCAAAATATTGACATTACAAACACTCCTGTCAACATCCTCTCCCACCACATAGTAGCAGCCGGCATATGACAGAGAGTCGGGTCTGAATCAAAGCTCTACAGTAGCTTTCCCATCCGGTCGACAGTTCGTTTCTCTATACATCATCGTCCTGTCCATCTTCATCGAACGTCGACCAGAAATACCCGACGACCACACAACGACGATAGCGACGACGGCGACGACCCCGACGACAGCACCGCTTCTCGAGGGAACCTTTTCCCACCAATACCCATTCTCCCAAATTTGGTCCCGGCCGCTGATGGAGACCCTCATCACCAATGGCTTCCTTGACCGATAAGACATATTTCCCTCCGCTGGAGGAGTGTTTGACGGGCAAGAACATAATACTGTCCTGGAAACTTGTCGCTTCTGCCCTTGCCGACCAACAGAGCGATCGCATCACCAGCAATGCCGTCTCTTCCTTTCTAAAAGATGCCTACGTCCAGCACCTGCTCAAGAACCCCTCCAAGACCTTCGAACCTCCGACCTCCAAGACGAAAGCCGACTTCGAGACCAAGACCGCCGCCATCAACGTGACCCAGACCCCCAACGAGCGATTCAATATCAAGACCATCAAGGACGACGCCATATGGCTCAGCACCAATGTCAACATCAGCGAAGTTGCCGCCCTGCGCATCGTCGTAGTCGAGTTCCAGTCGCGCCCACAAGCCCACCTCGTCGGCCCTCTCTCTACCCAGGATATCGACAATATTCAGGAAGCTGCTGGAGTCAGTGATGC